ACAAATTGCAACAGATAGAACACGAATTGAATAAATTCAGGTAGAATAAAAGCTGATTATTACATTTTATATTGATAACTGCAAAAACGTGTCTATTTTAATTAAAGCAGCCACCTTGAGTTAGCTTTAATACCGAATACGTTGCACCTGTGTTCACTTAAAAGTCAATCAGTTTGTTCCTGTTCCCCACTGTCAGTTTTACCTGGGGCTCCTGTGGGGAAGTCTCAAGTGAGTGGTTTAAGTCCAAGGGAGCCCTCGCGCCTCTTCATGCTGATTTGGGAGCTGCTCCAGTTTGGACCTTCATAAGGAGGGGGCCCAATAGCTTGCGGTGCTTTGTGCCCCTCGACAGTGACGGTAGGATGAGCAGGAGTGGATAGCGCACGAGGCCGTGGTATAGGAGCCGCCTATGTGAGAGACCCGGATGGTGGTACAGTAACAGGACGGGGCGGAGGCGGCAGGAGTGCTGCTGGCAAGGTCAGACGCATAGTCAAAGTTTGGACTAACGTTACTTTATCTCCGTCTCCTGTATTTTCCTCCTGCAAAACCGGCTTTTTTTCTCTGGTTGCTTTTCAGGCCACTGGAGGAGGTGGAGGAGCAGGCAGTGGGTTGGTTGGGCATTGGTCCTGGTGTTTGTGTTTAAGAGGTGTTTTTAGGATTTGCGGTGTCTGCCTGTCTTGCTCCCTTTTTCTTCATTTTTTTGACTATTGAGAAGTGGGTCAGGTGTCTTAAGTCTTTGTCTATCCTTATTTCTTTGGCCCATCACTTGGGTTCCTTGCTGTGAGGCATCTTTATTATGGAGTAATGTAAAAGACAGAGTGTAGGGAATTTTATTCCAGATCATGTGAACTTGAAAAACATTTGAGTTATTTTTATCTTTCTGAGTTTTAGAATGCCCAGTTTCTAGAGCTCTTGCTTTTAAACTAATTAAATAGAACTCCTTTACAGATTAATTTTAGCAATACCAACTGGAGGTAGTGAAAATACCTCATCTGTAACGCGTATAGACATTTACACAAACAAGGTACACACATAATTAGCCTCTGTTTCAGTAATATTTGTGGAGAGGACATCTAAGACCCAACTTCCAAATATCCTCCTTTTATTAAAACAAATCTGATTGCAAGACAGCAGGATAATTTCTGGATCCATTAACTAGTTATTTTCCATTTCCAGTAAGAAATGGTTTTGGTTTTGTCCAAACCAAAATGGTTTTGGTTTTGTCCAAAGACATGAAAAGCTACAGCAACGAACAAACCGAATGAAGCCCAGAGTACCTTTGTGAGCGTTGGGTCCTCCCCCAAAGCCAGGGGTTCACTGATTACACCAAATGGCTTCTTAGTTTCTAGCTGCTTAGTCTGATAGCTGGCTTTCTCTAATAGTGTACACAAGAAAACTAATCCAGACATGTCGAAGAACCCCATTTGGGATTTGAGACTCAGGCTATCCTTAAATTTCCCCATTAGTAAGCACTTGCATGTGTAGGCTCCACATGTATTGTATGTACAGCCTGCGAGAGTTTCCTGTGGGTGGTTGTTGGTTTTCTAGCAGTGTTAGGCTTTTGAAGCATGGTTCCCCATTCGTTTTAGTTTCAGTTTTATTTGTAGAATAAGGCTTGACTAAGATCTAAGGCTATCCAGTGTGGTGGGTTGAGAGGGTGCTGCTTGTGAGAGTTACTTCCAAGGACCGTGATACACCTTCTGATGTCTCTGGATTTCTCTCAGTGAGGTAAAAACCATCGAAGGGGCTGGGAGCACTGGATGATCTGTGTTTATTTATGTCTGTGCCCCTGGACCATCCAATCATTAATTACCTTATTAGATGGAACATTCCTGTGGGACCCCTGCAGGTCTTGAGGAATATCCTCTGACACTTCCGTTACAGGCTTTCGGTCATCTGAAAGGATCATTTGGCCAGAAGTAGCAAATGTCCCTTGCTGCTTAGAGCTGAGTGATTCAGTGTCTCATATTTCTAACCAGAAAATTTACTCAAGCCTTACACTGAAGGTATAGCAATTAGTATAATGCCAAATTAAGACATCCAGCCCATCAATTCCAACCCGTGTAGGTTATTCCCACCTGGAGATCATTCCTGTAACTCTCAACAGCTTGAATAAAAGTTAGGATCATCAACTCAAATTGAGGAGGTGCAGATATCAGGAGAACTCACCCAATATATCTATGAGGTGCTGGGGGTTCACAGGGGTACCTGTGCTGGTACCCAGCGCCTGAGTTGCTCGGAGGTCTTGCGAGAGTTTCTCTAATATCCTGTCCTTCTATGCCAAGTAACACTGATGCAAAATGAACAAATCTTTTTAAAATTTTTAAAGAGAAAAGGAAAGACGAGCCCAAGTTAGCACAATAGCCCAGGATACATAATCTTGACAAAGAAGAGAGTGCTTTGGGGAAGGAACATTTGGTGCAGTGTTATACATGTTTTTTTACATGAAGAGTTACACATCATGATGATGAAGGGCATTCCAGAAAGTTACAGACTTTGCTTTATGTTTTCAGCATGTGCAAGGCTGTATGATTTTAATCTTATGGGAACCAAGAGGTTTCTTTTGTTTTTCCCATCTGTATGTTTGATGTTCCTTTTTGGTTGTTTTTTCAATGAAGCAGACATGCAATGTGTGCTCCAGGCAAAGATAGAGCCTATACTTTGAGGTTTTGCCAAGTCATTTTGACCTTGGTGGGAAATGTAAAGTATAACTTCCCCTGAAAGCCCAGGAGCAGGCTGCTTAAATATTCGCTCAGGTTTTTAGCCTCTAGCAGTTTCTTTCTGCCTGTTTTTTAGTTGTTTTTTTTTTTTTTTTCTGAAAGTTTCCCATGTGTCTGCAATTTGCCTTGAGAGGAAAGGGCACAGAATGCTGGGTTTGCCTTTGCATTCTCTCCTTTCCAGGATTTTGGTTCTGCAAGTCCTGGCTGCTTTGGTTACTCTCATCACACAGAGCTCTTCAAATAGTTGCATGTTACATTTTATCTACTTTTACAATGTTCTCTTTGGAGGATGCTTGGTTTGGAACAGCTGCTCCATCATAGCCAGAGAGAAAGTTCTTCATGGATAACTTTCATTTTTTTTTTTTAAATTTAATTAATTAAATTTATTTTTCTTTTAGAGAGAGAGTGCGCGTGAGCAGGGGAGAGGGGCAGGTGGGGTGGGGAGAGAGAGAGAGATTGAGAATCCTAAGCAGGCTCTATGCTCAGCATGGAGCCTGATGTGGGGCTCCGTCCCACAACCCTAGAATCATAACCTGACCCGAAATCAAGAGTCAGATGCTCAAGAGACTGAGCCACCCGGGTGCCCTGATAACTTTGATTTTTAAAAATTAAAACCGGGATGTCAACTATACTCTAACAAAACAAAACAGAACACTAAGTTGATGGTCATTTGACATTTCAAACCTAGTTCACAAGCTGTTACGTTCATCTTAACTCTTAGTCTAAATCTTTTATTTATTTATTTTTTAACGTTTATTTATTTTTGAGACAGAGAGAGACAGAGCATGAACAGGGGAGGGGCAGAGAGAGAGGGAGACACAGAATCTGAAGCAGGTTCCAGGTTCTGAGCTGTCAGTACAGGAGCCCAATGTGAGGCTCAGACCCACAAACCACGAGATCAAGACCTGGGCCAAAGTTGGGTGCTTAGCCAACTGAGCCACATAGGCGCCCCTAAACTCCATTTATAAACTTAATACTCTGTTTTTGTTCTAAATTCTATACCTGCTTCATTATTGGTTTTATTTTATTAATAGTTTTTATACTTAATTCTAAAACTTCCTAGAATTTAAATATGTTCACCCATCATGGAAATGATTATGTCATCTCAAATGGTTTTGGAGCTTCTCTTCTTGGCTGATTGAGGGAGCATAACAGTCAGGGATATAGAGTCTGGAGCAATAAATTCAGAGAAATTTCTCTTATCCCTGACTGCCTGGATTAACTCCCTTTTTATAATAATAACTATGTCAAGAACCCCAAAATGAAACAACAAAAACAGGTGATGGTAATCATGTGGTCTGCCCCTAATCTTGAGATGTATCGTAATATGATTTTCAAACCAGGCAAGTTTAACTCCCACTTCTCTTTTTCCTGTTTTATGAGTTTTGATTAATTTTTATTGTCTGTATTTACTTATTAGATGTTTAATTAACAACTAATTGAAGTTTATGCATATGCCCCCCTAATATAGGTCCCATGGTTGTTCTTGTCACAATATAGCCTGTTCATTGGAAATTGAACTATTTATTGCATTGTAGTTTAAAATCGACTTGTTTTTAAAACATGTTTAATAGTGTATTTTATTGAACCCACTGTACCTAAAATATTTTTACTTAAGCATGTAAAAAAAGGACTAATCGGGTATTTTACATTCTTTTAAAAAATTTAGATCTCTATTTTTAATTTTTCTGAATAGAGATAAAATTGACAAATACCATTACATTAGTTTCAGGTGTACAATATAATGGTTTAATATTTATTTTTTAAAAAAATTTTTTTTCCCAACGTTTATTTATTTTTGGGACAGAGAGAGGCAGAGCATGAACGGGCGAGGGGCAGAGAGAGAGGGAGACACAGAATCGGAAACAGGCTCCAGGCTCTGAGCCATCAGCCCAGAGCCCGATGCGGGGCTCGAACTCACGGACCGCGAGATCGTGACCTGGCTGAAGTCGGACGCTTAACCGACTGCGCCACCCAGGCGCCCCTGATTTAATATTTATTTATATTGTGAAATGATCACTGTAAGTCTAGTTAACATCTATCACAGTCACAATTTTTTTTCTTGTGATGAGAACTTTCAAGATCTGCCATGTTAACAACTTTCAAACATGCAGTGCAGTGTTATCATCTGTAGACACCATGCTGTATATTACATTTCCAGGATTTATTTATTTTGTAATTGGAAATGTGTACCAAAATGACTTGTTTTAAGTGTACTATTAACTGGTATTTACAATCTGATTTATCTGGACTATCAACTTATTGTTGCTTTTCCCTCTACAGAAAGGCAGAAACTCTCCAGATGTCTTCCGGTAATGACGAAGTTTTTATCCCAATGTCACGAAGAAACACCAGTGACCTCCCCAGGACAACCTCCAATGACCTGAAGACATTTACCGAAGTAGCTGTGTTAAGTTTTCATAACATCAACTATCGAGTAAAAGTGACGAGTGGCTTTCTTCTTGGTCGAAAAACAGTTGAGAAAGAAATATTAACAAATATCAAGTATGTTCATGAACTTGTATTAAAACAGCTTTATTGACCTACAGTGAGCTTGACAGTTTTGCTTATTGCAAATAAAGGAATTACGTTTGTGTACAACTCTATACAGACATACAGACACGTGCTTTTATTTCTTGTGGCTGAACTTGGAGTGAAGTGGTTGGATCACATATTAGGTGTGTGGTTAACTTTAAAGGAACTGCCAAATTGGGAAAGTGGTTGCTCTATGTGCATCAACTTTTGTTTGAGAAACTGAACAATGAATGTGTCGTTTAATTATTTCTGGGTACACCCTGTGGTTTACTGAATGCGAATGGCTGTATAATTTACTGGTTCTTGGTTGTGGGGATATAATTATCATCTCTGAACTTTAGTTTTCTCATCTGTGGAACAGAGAGAAGACCTGCTATTGTACCTTATGAGCCAGACACTTTTCGGTACTTATGTCCTTTATGTCCTAGATGCAAGAGCCAGGTAGTGGAAATGACAGTATATTGTAAAAGTACTTTGGTTTTCAAATACACTTGTTTTAAATGAGTGTTCCATTTATACAGTAATTTGTACCATTTACTTAATGCTTCTCCCCATTACACAGGCAGACAGAGTCTATTTAAATATAAGACAACTATGGCTTAGCTTAAGTGATGCAGTGGAATTCCAAAGTGATTAGAGAAATTAGGAACCAAATCAATACATTTAACTGTATTTTAGAATCCAAATCAGTACAAAACTATGGTTTTCATTCTCTTCATCCAGGGCGAATGCATCATGTTTTGTGGAGTGGGCAGTAGAGTGGGGAGAGAAAAATGAGCATTTATGTAGAATCTAGTTGGTCCCAGATATCTCTACTCTTTCACAAATGATAGCCATCAGGGTTTTAATGTTTTTCTGATGTCTACAGAAGTGAGCTTGATTTTTTCCTGTCTGTGGAGGGGGGAGTGAGTCTAGGTATGCTCAGACAGCATAGTCTGTTTGTTTGTTTAATAGGGGCAATAACTACTCCTAGACAAAGTAACTTTTTCGGGCTCTTTTATCTGTGGGCAGGGAGACTCTGGGGATCTGAGATCGACTGGGTTACCAGGAGGCCAGGTGCTTTGTAGGATTAGATAGAACTTTGTCCATGGAGTAATACCTACTGTCAAGCTTACTTCCTTGTTGCTTTTGTGTGTTAGTTGAGAAACCCTGAGTAGGAAAATAGGAGAGGAATGGTAGATGCAAAGTTTCCTTTCTGAAAAGCTGATAATTTTTTTGTGGAACATCATAATCAAGAAAATGTTGGTCATGTGGTGCCTGGATGGCTCAGTCAGTTGAGTGTCTAACTCTTGATTTCAGCTCAGCCCACGATCTCACTGTTTGTGGGTTTGAGCCACATGACCGGCTCTGCACTGACAATGTGGAGCCTCCTTGGGATTCTCTCTCTCGCTGTCTCTGTCCCTCCCTCACTTGTGCTCTCTCTCTCTCAAAAATAAATAAACTTAAAAGAATTAATACTCAAAAAAGAAAATGTTGGTCACTTCAGATTTTGTGCTAAGTGGAAGGTAACAAAGGACCTGAATATGTGCAAGTTGAATAGATTTAAAATGCGTGCTGTGCAAGCATATATTTATCTTGCTTATGTTTTAAAACTACTAGATTTAGTAACTTGGTACTGTAAAAGTGTCATCTGTTCAAGGCTTCATAAAGTTTTATGGTTCACTGGTATGCATTTCAGCAATGGATGAGTTCATCTTTGCGTGCAGAACTAGGTTCATAAAAACTCAGTCAAATCTTGTAATTCTTTATAATTTTATAGTTAAGAGGACAGGTGGGATTGGTTTCCTTGTTTACTCACATGTCTGGTTTAGGGATCACTGAGAAGGGTCATCCCTGTTTTTGCTTCGCTGATTCTTATGTTTCCCCTATCTGTTGATTTCAACTAAGTAGAGTTTCTGGGATGGGGAAAGATTGCTTCCATAAACCTAATTTTTGATTTGTGTTTGATAGCACTGCCCGCATTCACAGTAGTAACTGTATTTCAAGAAATCTGATGAGAATCTTGATTTTTGTTTTTCCTTTGGACATTTTGTAATCTCATTTGTAGATCTAAGTAACTAGAACCTGATTTCCTCTGTCGGGGGAAGAAGACAAAACAAAATCTGACTATTAGCATTGAAAAAGGTAAGATTTTACTTCCTCATGAAAAACCTTTTTGTTACACTTAGTTTGTCCCCATACCCAGTATTTGGGCTTTCCTTCACGAAGGTTGAAGATCTATGGAAAAAATGGTCCATACCAGTAGATGTGTGGATATTTTTTTAATTTTTTTTTTTCAACGTTTATTTATTTTTGGGACAGAGAGAGACAGAGCATGAACGGGGGAGGGGCAGAGAGAGAGGGAGACACAGAATCGGAAACAGGCTCCAGGCTCTGAGCCATCAGCCCAGAGCCCGTGGATATTTTTTAATCTCCAGGGAAATTTGTTATACTGTTTCAGGATTTTTTTAAATTTATGATTTATTTTGACATAATTTTAAAAAGTTTTGAGGTTTATTTTTCAGAGACAGAGAGAGACAGAACTTGAGTGGGGGAGAGGCGGAGAGAGAGGGAAACAGAATCCAAAGCAGGTTGCAGGCTCTGAGCTGTCAACAAAGAGACTGATGTGGGGCTTGAACTCATGAACTGTGAGATCATGGCCTGAGCCAAAGTCAGATGCTTAACTGACTGAGCCACTCAGGTGACCCTATTTTGACATAATTTTAAACTTAAACCTTGCACTTTTTACTCAGATGCCCCACCTGTCAACATTTCACTGCATTTGCTTGTTACTTTTACTCTTTATATACCCATTATCATTAGTATTTTTCTAAAAGCAAGCTGTCCATATGGTGTTTTATTATCCTTAACTCCTTTGGTGTATGTTTTCCAGAAATAAGGATCCTCTTTTATATAGCGACTCAGTCATTGTTTTGGAGCAGCCCAGGGGAAGTGCAGCCTCATAGTGAATGCAGTGGTGGGTGCTAAGGGACTGTCAGTCAACCACGCCCTTAACATACTTAACTAACCACCACATCATGTCTCTTTTGTCTCATCCAACCTGGTATTTTTCTGTCTCACCCTTGAACCTTGATTACTTGGTCATGTTGGTGTCTACCAGCCTTTTCCACCGTAATGTTACCATTTCTACTTTGTAACTGATAAATACTATGAGGGGAGATACTCTGACATTATTCCAAAACTGTAGTCCTCATTAATCTTCAGCCCACCAGCTTTAGCCCCCATTGATTCCTCCTTCCCAAGTCAGCAGTAACAATCACTATGATAGTTATCAAAAGGTGATTTTTCTGTTTTCATCCAACTCTTCAGGATGGATTAGATTGTAGTCTACTAAAAGAAAAAAAAGCTCTATTCTTCCTTTCTTCATTCATTTCTTTATATCAGTATAGACTCATGGATTTCATATTCAATACCATTCAATAGTATTGCATTATTATCATTATTCTTCTTGATAATCTTACTGTTCCTGATTGGGTCAGTGGGAGACCTTTGCTTTTTTTACCTTGTTCTTTTGATATATTTTCTCATTTGAGTATTTTCTTGGCACAGCAAGAAGTTTCAGACTCCCTGAATACTTACCCTGCTTCAGACCTGGAACTAGCTGTTGTTCCTTTTCATGGAGGATGGTATTTATAAACCAAGATCTGGGTGTTTGGAATGTTCGTTGCCATTGGGATGTCATAGCTTCTAGGCCTTCTCAGTGGGTAGACCTAGGGAATACACACACACACACACACACACACACACACACACACACACACGCTTATACATGTACCTAAAGCTTTCTATATCTATTTGTGTATATAGATTAAAACTCATGACTTCTCAGTAATACCTTCAATTCTAATCTTATACCTAGGGTTCTTTCTACATTTCTATTTTTATAAAATATCTCAAAAAGTAAAAAACCTGGTTCTCATTATCCTTAATATACTTACTGATTTGCTTACTTTTCTTATTCCTTAATATAAGTAATTACCCTGCCCTCTAGCTGTCACCTCTGTTCCTTCCATCTCCCTTCACAGCCTGTGTTCTGTTACAGCTGTCAAGAAGTTTTTCCTACTTCTTGACATTTTTTTAAAGTTTATTTTTATTTTTGCAAGAGAAAAAAGAGAAAGAGCACATGTGTGGGGGGCGGGGGAGGGGCAAAGAGAGTGAAAGAGACAATCCCAAACTGACAATGCAGAGCCCGACATGGGGCTCAGTCTCACGAACTGTGAGATCATGACCTGAGCTGAAATCAAAAGTCAGACGCTTAACCAACTGAGCTTCCCAGGTGTCTTTTGACATTTGTTTTTATTGAAAACTTTTTTTTAGCTTTCCTGTAAGTAACTGTCATTTATAAAAATGTAGAGACTCATTTATTCAATAAATTTTAAGTGTCTATGAGGTGCTTGACATTGTATAAGATGTTAGTGACACAGTTATGTCCTCTGTTCCAGAAACTTTCTAGTCTAATGGTGGATTCATACAAGTAGAGGACTTTACTGTTTAGAGGGACAGATAGGGGGATTAGAAGATACCATGGAAGTCCCTAATCCTAAATTGGAGGCCCGGGGGAATGAGAGAGAGAGTGAAGAGTGTGTGTGTAGAACAAGGTAGGGAGGGAAGGTAGCTCCAAGCAGTGGGAATGGCATGGACCTCTTCATAAAATGAGACCAGAGGATTAACCATTATGCACTAAAATGTGGTAGATGTGACATGAATCCTTTAGCTAGGTTTCATTTGATGTATTCAATGATCTACCCATTGTACCACTGTGCTGCATGCTATGGTGGGGTGGGGGGTGACACAAGATTGCACCATCTTGTTGACAAAGTTTTACAATACAGTGAGGGAGATTTTCCTGCATGTACATGCTGTAAAGCAGTAAATAAGGGTGGGAAATGAGTTTGGAGGGATGATAGTAGAGTGGAGGGCAGGGTGGGGAAACAAGGGGATTGTAGACCATAAACCAGAACAAGCGTCAACAGACTTTCTATAAAGGGCCTTATAGTAAATATTTTCATCTTTATGGGCCACACATCTGTGTTGCAACTAGTCAATTCTGTCACTGTAGTGTGAAAGCAGCCATGGACGTAAATGAATGAGTGTGGCTCTGTTTCAACGATACTTTGTTTATGAAAACAGAAAACAGGTGACCAGCTCTCTTTTGCTGGACCTTGGACTGTAAACTCCAGGAGGCCTAGGACTTTGTTTTATTCTCTGTCCCATGTCCTAGAAGAGTGTCTTGTACATACGTAGTAGTCACTGGATAATTGTGTTGAATGAATGGAGGGAGAATTAGCCACTGCTCCCAACTGGAACTCTTTCTTGCATTTGTGGTTGTATGTTATTGTTGTTTTCTGTAATGCTAGGGTTTAGTGCCAAAGTAAGCCCAGCTTGGGGACCTATAAAATTGTCCTAGAGCATTCACATTCAATTTTGGGCTAATCATTTAGGATTAGTTGGTCTTTACTTGAGTAAATGTTTTAAAAACCTGGAGATTTTTTCTGATAATGAAATCTTAGTGAATGACAAGCTTATTTCTGGTCATTTTAGAAACAGTTACTAGGTAGCTATTAATAAAGAAGATGAATCAAGAGCTACAGATAAATGCATCTTGAAAGTTCACTCAGCCAGTATGTCTTTTTACTTTCGGGGATGGGGGGAGGAGAAGAGGTCATTGAAAGAATAAGAGATTTTTCTGTTCTACAGCTTGTTCCTAGTTTACCAAACTCATTGTATTTGTGCAGTGTTTCTGTGCGAGGCACCACAGTTGAGTAACAGAGTGAAAGCTACATTTCACCCTAGCATCCACCAGCCATTTTACAGTTGTGACAACTTAAGTTGTCCCCTACAGAAAGTGGCATTTATCACTTCCACACTGAGAATTTCCCAGTCCAATTACCTGAAACTTTATAAGGAAGAAAATGATACATATTGAGAATATATATTTTACTATTTCTAATTTAGTAAAAAATTTGTGAGGGTTAAGAACGGGTGATGTGTTTTTTGTTTTACCTGTGAGGTGCTTTATTCTAGCCATTGACTTTCTACTTCAGATATATTGTTTTTTAGTCTGAGTAGATTTAAGTAAGAGTGAGAACACTCTTACTGGGGATTCTAGAAGTCCATTGACTCGTTAATTGTGTAGAACTTGACTAAGTAGCAAATGAGGTGACTTGAAGATAATTAATGTCACTGAACATTAGTTAAGACTGAAGCTCTTTACACTGTGTTTGGGGGATAAATGTTAACAGAGATGTTTCACTAGACTCTGCTACTTTGAGGAAACTTGAACTTCCTTGTGTCCTTTTTCAAAAAATATAAATGATTTAGAGAAGAAGTGAAAGGAATTTAGAGGGACCCAAGCCATTTTTCTTAGATGTCTTGAGTATTGATTAACATCGTTTATATGTGGGACTTATGTTAATTGACAGTTTGGTGTCTTTTTCTTTTAAGAGTTGGTTTGTGCTTGTTTTTTGTTAATCACTTTCATTGAGTGTATTAAATGCAGACCCTAAATTAATAGAACCAGTTTCGAAACAAGCCATTAAATTGGTATGTCTCTGTGTTTACAGTGGCATCATGAGACCTGGCCTCAATGCCATTCTGGGACCCACAGGTGGAGGCAAATCTTCGTGAGTATAATAATATAAGTCAGCTTTTTCTTTGCAGCTTAAATGTGCTTTTCAAGATTATTTTTACGTGAGCATGTATTTGTTGAGCATTTGCAGCCTACCTAGTCTGGTTCTAGGCTCTGTGGGTAACGTGCAATAGTGCTAGCTTGTGGTTGTCTCAAGGACCGGGAAATCTTATTTGGTCAGCTTACTAACAGGACATGACAACAGGACATGATTGGCATACAGCTATTGGCTATGATTTGAGCTATGGGGAGAGAAAGGAGGGAGAAAATAGAAAGTGGGGAGATGGAGCCAAAGGCATAAGTTAAGGCCTGTGTCTTAGACAAAGGAGCACATTGCTTGCCTTGAGACCCCCCAAGGTCACAGCCTGGAAGGTTCTTTCGGAAGTCTGTGCTGGATCAGCCAACAGTGCCTCAGTTTCATGTCTTTGGGCTTTATTGTAGCATATACTAAAAAAGGGAAGGTAAGAATTTAAAAATATAATTTTAGGTAATCTATAGAATTTCTTGATCAGTTAATTTTCTAACTTGAGCAGAATTTGGATTCAGTGGAGCCGAGAGATATAGCCTGAGTTGGAGAAAAATCACAACGTATATGTCCTCTCATAGGTTGTTAGATGTCTTAGCTGCAAGGAAAGATCCACATGGATTATCTGGGGATGTTTTGATAAATGGAGCACCTCGACCTGCCAATTTCAAATGTAATTCAGGTTATGTGGTACAAGTAAGTATTTATGCATTTTTTTTTTTAGCTTGTTTCTATTTCTATGTGGGCAAGTACCTTGGCTGATAGTTTAGTGTACTTCCAACTGACTATATGACATACTCATAGAACCAGTTTTCTTTCCACCAGCTTTTCATAATCCCCCGTAAGATTCAGAGTAGTGTGAAATGAAAAGGCAGGGAGAATCTGGAATATAACCATGGTAAGGGCAATGGTATCCATTCTAGTTATCATTTCCATAAGACACTACTGAATTCCCTTTTGGCCCTACCTTCACCCCTGTCCTTCTTCGAGCTTAGAAAGATGTTCTGGTAAATCCTGTATAAAGTAGTCTGACATGTCTGCTGGTAATAATCATAATGACCTGTGTCTCTTTGGGTGTACTGATACAGAATGAAAATTATGCCATCAGGCTTTTTCAGCTGTCTATATGTGAAGTTGTTGTCATTTTTATAATTGCAAATACATCATTAGCTAGGACTTTAAATTGAGTGTGTTATTCTTGTGGATTACATTACATGTACTTAAGTGTGATGGTATTAGAAAAGACCTAATATGTGTTATTCAAATGCCATTTTGCTTTAAGGATGATGTCGTGATGGGCACTCTGACAGTGAGAGAAAATTTACAGTTCTCAGCAGCTCTACGGCTTCCAACAACTATGACGACTAATGAAAAAAATATGCGGATTAACAGGGTCATTCAGGAGTTAGGTCTGGATAAAGTGGCGGATTCCAAGGTAATGTGGAAAAAACAGACAGGATCGTAGCTGGCAAATAGGATCTTACCTGTGTAGACAGTAGTAACTCTTATTCAGAAGTTTTCTATAATATGTGTGGTCAAAAGTGACTGCTTTGTGTAAAGATGAGAAAAACATAATATGGAGATGGAAATTAGCCAGAAAAAAACTAAAAGTGTTTGAACCCTGCAAATGAAGTGTGGCAGTGTGCTCTAGTATATAGAAGTGTCTTTGCAAAGAGCATGAGGCCCTTTCCATGTGATGATAGCTCTTGACGCTTTCCCACACCGTTTGTCATGGGTCATCCACTGTCTTTACACTAACTTTCCTTCTTCCTGTTTTCTTTCCCCTTTTAGCTCTTCTTCCTCTTCCTCCAGGAGACTTTGTTCCATTGCTTTTGAGGTATATTTCTGGAATTCTTAAATGGCAAAAATCCAAGGGTTCTGGCTCTACGTTTCACTTTGCTATAATTTGGCTTTCATTTAAAAAAATTTTTTTTAACGTTTTTATTTATTTTTGCGACAGAGAGAGACAGAGCATGAATGGGGAGGGGCAGAGAGAGAGGGAGACACAGAATCGGAAGCAGGCTCCAGGCTCTGAGCCATCAGCCCAGAGCCTGACGCGGGGCTCGAACTCACGGACCGCGAGATCGTGACCTGGCTGAAGTCGGACGCTTAACCGACTGAGCCACCCAGGCGCCCCATATAATTTGGCTTTCAAAATTATATTTAGTCAAAGTAGAGTTTTCTTCCTGTTTTTTAAGCTTATTTATTTTGAGAGAGAGCGTGTGCACGGGAGGGGCAGAGAGAGAGGGAGAAAGAGAATCCCAAGCAGGCTCCACACTGTCAGTGCAAGGAGCCCAATGTGAGGCTCAAACTCACGAACCCGTGAGACCATGACCTGAGCTGAAATCAAGAGCCAGATGCTTAACTAATTGAGCCATCCAGGCACCCCTAACTTAGGGTTTATTTCTAATTTGTGTAGCATCCCAGTCGTTTTTCTATAGCCTCTCTTTTGGTACTTTTGTCTCTTATTCCCCTCTCCTCTTCATATCTTCCTTTCTTCTGCCAATATTTACTTACATATTGTCTGTTATGTGCTGGGTTCTTAGGTTTTAGAGATAACAGTTTGGGGCCAGAGAGACAAAAATAACTCCTTTTGTGGTTGTGCAGAGTCAGGAGGAAGAAATGAAATGAATGAGAGAACTTTACAGTTGATGACTAGAGATGAAAGATTTGCTGGGAAGACATTTGAAGCTTTGGGTGAAGAGGAGCTTTTTAGATTGTGGTGGCTGTAGTTTAGCATTCTTTATTATTTTAAAGATTTTATTTTTAAGTAATCTCTACACCCAATTTTGGGCTCGAACTTACAACCCTGGGATCGAGAATTGTACCCTCTACTAACTGAGCCTGTGGTGGCAATAGTTTAATCCCCCTGTGAAATCTATCCTCGACTTAGAGATAATGAAGAAAGGGGGCATTCTGCTGGCTGCTGCTTCATGTGATACTGACATTTAAAAAAAAAGGTTAAGTGTATTTTGCTTGGAAGCAGCACTCTGGGATGCCACCATTTACTACTTTTGTTTTATGAGTTTATGGGTTTGGGTTTCCTTTGCTTTGGCTCTGTTTTTCATTTTGTCTTTTTAGTAAGGTGCTTTCCAATCTTTATTTTTAGGTAAAACTTCTTTACAAATAGACAGCCATTGCCCTAACTTATTTGCATAGAATTCCTGGGAAATGAGCTGAAGGTAGTTGTTCACTTCTTAGAATTTATTTATCTAATTGATTGAAAATACTTTCAACATTCTTTTACTTTTTATGAAATTTTAAACATAGAATAGTCTGATTACTATCCTAATTGTATGATTATAGTATAATTAATATAATGGTATGATACTAATAACATTCACCTAGATCTCCCAGTTGTTGACATCTTATCCCATATGTGCTTCAGCTTTTCTTCTGAAGTATTTTTTTGAAGTATTTTAGAGAAAGTTATAAATATCATATTTCACTCCTGAAAACTGATTATGCATCTTAAAAAAAAGACATTTGCCTACATTACCACAATACCATTATAAACTAACAAAATTAACAGTGTCTTAATATCAGTTACGTTAAGCCCCTATTCATTCACATTTTCCCAATTGTCTCCAAAATGTCTGTTATGGCTCAATTGTTACAAGATCCAGCCAAGGGCATCAGTAGCACTTGATTATCTCTTTGAAGACTCTTAATGTAGGAAATGCTTCCTACCTCCCCCCAAACCTTCTTGTCCTCTCCAACCCCACTACATACAATGACATCGACTAGTTGAAAAGACTGAGCCAAAAGAAAAGACTACAGTTGCCCTGTAGAATGTTCTGTCTTCTGGATTTGTCTGAAAGAATGAGTGAGGAATTCTGCAGTGAGTTGGGATATATGCAGGGTCAATTTGGGAAGCCTTATGGTGATTTAAGAGGTGCTAATGTGGTATAATAGAAAGTGAACTTTCTGTTTCCCAAACCACACTGAGGACTTTTGGAGGGGTGAGGAGGGAGAGTGTAAGAAGATTAATAAATTATAGATGCTTTCCCCTTCTCCTTTCCTACCTTTATCTCCCTTTTGGTTTGTGATTGCAGTATGCCAGGGCCAAATCTTTTACTATTCTAATTTGACTTGGTAAGGAATATATAGTACTGTTAAGCATGGCTTTCACATCAGGCTTGGCCACTTAGCTGATTTGAGCCTCAGTTTACTCATTTTGTTAAAGAGAAACCTACCTCTTTTCCCATATTTTTATTTACTTACTATTTTGAATAAGCAAGGGATGAGATATTGCCTCTTACAGGGTCAGCTCATTGTAGGACCTCCACAAACAATAGTGGCTGTGGTTGTAATTGTTAATAATGATATTTGTGTTTTAGGTTGGAACTCAGTTTATCCGTGGTGTGTCTGGAGGAGAAAGAAAAAGGACTAGTATAGGAATGGAGCTTATTACTGATCCAGCCATCCTGTTCCTAGATGAGCCCACAACTGGCTTAGACTCAAGCACAGCAAATGCTGTCCTTTTGCTCCTGAAGAGGTAAATGCTATAGGAACATTATTCTCTCATCCATGTTGAGAGAATATCTGATCACCTGCTGTATATCAGGTGTTCTTCTTGGTATAGGGAATTCAGCAGTGAGCGCAATTTCTTCTGTCTTTGTTCAAGGGAAACAGTTGATCGACAAATATAAGCGTTTCAAGAAAAATGAAGCACGGTAAAAGCATAGCAAAAGATGGCTGTAGTGGGGGTGGGGGTGCTATGTTAAACATCAGGATGGTCAGAGAAGACCTCAATGATGTGATATGTGAGCTGCGAGCAAGTAAGCAGGACCTGGATGTCTGGGAGAAGAGAGTCCTCCTTGGAGGGAAGAGCCAGTGGGTCCTGAGGCAGAGTGTGCCTGATGTGTTTAGAATATCAAGGAGGCCAGAGGGACTGGATGCTGGTGAACTAGGTAGAATGGGGATTGCTTATCGATTAGTTTGCTAGGGCTGCCATAACGTGGTATGAATGGACTGGGTGACTTAAACAACAGAAGTTTAGTTTTTCATATTCTTGGGAATCTAAAAGCCCAAGATAAGAGGGTCAGTAGAGTTGTTTTTTCTGAGGCCTTTCTCCCTGGCTTGGCTTGTCCGTAGTCATCTTCAATCTGCGTCCTTAGATTAAGGCCCACATATGACCTTGTTTAACCATAAGTCCCTCTGTAAAGACCCTGTCTGCAAATACAGGTATATTCTGAGGTCATAGGGGTTAGAACTTCAACATGAATTTTGGGTGGGGGACATAATTCAGTCCACAACAGAATAGGACATGAGATGGAATTGAGTGGGTGGCAGATTACAAAGGCTTTGTAGGCCACTGTAAGAACTGTGGCTTTTATTGTCTCTAGGTTACATGGGAAACTTTTAGAAAGTTCTAGAACAGAAGAGTGGCAGCTGTGTAGAGAAAAGACTGTAGTGCAAGGTGAGTATAAGGAAAGCAGTCAGGAGGCTGTATTAGCTCAGTGGAGATATGATGCTGGTTTTGACTAGGATGGTAGTGGTGAGTTGGTGAGAAGTCATGGATTCTGGATCAATTTTAAAGGTAGAACCAACAGAATTAGTTCATGAATTGGACATGGGAAGTGATTATTGAAAGAATGAGTTTCTAAAATTTGGGACCTGAAAAATGGAAGAATGGAGAAAAGAATTGCATTTATATTTATTCCTCCAGTGGGAAGAATATGTTTGTAGGAGAAATTTCAAAAGTAAGTTTTGGACATTAAAAAAAATTAAAAATAAATTTTAACCTAACAGAAAAGTTACGAGAGTAGTACAAAGAAATCTCATGTCCTCTTACCTAGATTCCCCAACTATTACCATTTATGTGCATTTGCTCTCCCTCCGTCCCTCCACCCCACATCGTCTTTTTCTGACATCATGTACCATCACCCCTAGATACTCTGGAGTATATCTCTAAGAAACAAGGACACTCCTCCTACAATTCCATCTTACACACCTCCCATCCAAGGAGTCCACATTGCTGCCAGCACCACCATCCAACCCATGAACTCCAGCTGGACTTCACCAGTTGTCCCAAAAGTGTCTCTTTCTCCTTTCTGGCTTAGAATTTTCTCCAGGAATGATTTTTAAAATATTTTCTAATTCTGAACAGTTCTTTAGTCTTTTCTGGCTCTCATGTCCTTATCTGTCTTCAAGAGTACATTTTGTAGAGTGGCCCTCAACCTGGATGCATCCAGTGTTTCTCTATGACTAGACTCAGGCCATGAATTCTTGGTAGGGATACCACAGAAATGATGTTGTATTCTTGTGCAAAAATCAGGGGCTGTGTGATTTATTTTATTTTATTTTATTTTATTTTATTTTATTTTATTTTATTTTATTTTATTTCATTTTATATTTATTTTATTGTATATTTATTGTCAAATTGGTTTCCATACAACACCCAGTGCTCATCCCAACAAGTGCCCTCCTTAGTGCCCATCACCCATTTTCCCCTCTCCCCCACCCCCCATCAACCCTCAGTTTGTTCTCAGTATCCAAGAGTCTCTTATGATTTGCCTCCCTTCCTCTCTATAGCTTTTTCTCCCCCTTCCACTCCCCCATAGTCTTCTGTTAAGTTTCTCAAGATCTACATATGGGTGAAAATATAAGGTATCTGTCTTTCTCTGACTCATTTCACTTAGCATAATACCCTCCAGGTCCATCCACGTTGCTGCAAATGGCCAGATTTCATTCCTTCTCATTGCTAAGTAGTATTCCATTGTATCTATAAACCACATCTTCCTTATCCATTCATCAGTTGTTGGACATTTAGGCTCTTTCCATAATTTGGTATTGTTGAAAGCACTGCTATAAACATTGTGGTACATGTGCCCCTATACATTAGCACTCCTGTATCCCTTGGGTAAATTCCTAGTAGTGCTATTGCTAGGTCATAGGGTAGTTCTATTTTTAATTTTTTTGAGGAACCTCCACACTGTGGTCCAGAGTGGATGCATCAGTTTGCATTCTCACCAACAGGGCAAAAGGGTTCCCATTTCTCCACATCCTCACCAGCATCTGTAGTCTCCTGATTTGTTCATTTTAGCCACTCTGACCAGTGTGGGGTGGTGTCTCAGTGTGGTTTTGATTTGTATTTCCCTAACGAGGAGAGGGGCTGCATGGTTTTGACTTTTCCATGGGTGATGTTCACGACCATCAGCTGGTCATGTTGGTGTCTGCTGGGTGTACCTGCTGTGAAGTAATTATTTTTCCCTTTGTAATTGATTAATATTTTGTCAGGGGAGATAACTGGTTATTATGTCCATATCCTGTTTCTCATCAAATCTCTACCCACCAGTTTTAGCATGTACTCACAACTTCTGCCTCGATCAATTATTGGTGTTATGGTTGCCAAGTGATCTTCTATTTACATCATTCTTTCTACATATATTAGTTGGCATTCTACTACCAAGAACTTTTCCTCCTTCTCTATTCATTTTACTCATATTATTTTAGTCAATAGATTATAATCTGCTATTACTTATTTTCTGTGATTCAATTAGCCCTGATTTGGCCATTGGAAGCCCCTTCAGTCTGGCTTTGTGTCCTTTTGACATGCTCCCTAATCATTCTTCAAGCATTTCTCTACTTCCTGGTCAACAAGATGATCCAGGCTTGTCTTGTCCTTTTCCTGTGTCAGATGTTTCTCTAAGGAGCCCCGGTACCTTCTGGTATAGTCAGAATTTAGAAACCAAGATCTGCTTACTTAGTGTAGTGTGCTTGCTGCTACTACACTGGAAGTTTCATTGCTTCCAGACCCACTTAGCAGACATACCTAGGAAATATTTGTGCACATGTGCGTTATGTATGTGTATATATATAACACAGAAATATATTTTTATATTGTTTTTATCAAAGATTTTATTTTTAAGTAATCTCTACGCTCATCATGGCCCTCAAACTCATAACCCTGAGATCCAGAGTTATATGCTCCACTGACTGAGCCAGCCAGGCACCTATTTCTATTTGGAAAATATATGGAATATTAATTACATATGTGTATACATGTATATATTTTGAATAGAATGATAGATACAAACATACATCTGTAACTATTGCTCTGTTAGTATGTGTGTATTAAAAAACTCAAGAATGTGTAAAATTTCCAATCTCGTCTAACATGAGTCCTCTTTTTAGTCTTTTCCCTTTTCATGTTTGTTTGTTTTTTAAAATGTTTATTTATTTTGAGATAGAAAGCGAGAGTGAGCACATGAGTGGGGAAGGGGCAGAGAGAGCAGGAGAGAGAGAATCCCAAGCAGGCTTCGTGCTGTCAGCGCAGAACCTGGTGTAGCACTTGAACTCAGGAACTGTGAGATCATGACTGAGCTGAGATCAAGAGTCAGACACTTAACTGACTGAACCACCCAGGTGCCCTACCCTTTCCATGTTTGTAAATGATTTTTTAGACAGACAAAGTCTTAGCTGTCATTATCTCAATATATTTACTTACTTGCTCAGCCAAGTAACTTAACTGTTAAATATTACTAATCTCTTAGTCACTCTGGCCATTTCCTCTGCCCACTACCTCTGGGACTGCTCCCTAACCCCCACTTTTTTAAAAGCTACCAAACACATCACCTTTAATGACATCCCCTCCTTGTCATTACCTTGCTTCCTCTGATGCCCATGCCCTCATAAGCAAGTCTCTATGCTAGGATAAGAAGCAACAGGAAGATCTTAGATATCTTAAGTTTGAGATGTCAGTTGCACATATAAGTGAAGATGCCAACTAATGGGTCTGGGGTTCGGGTTCAGTTAGAGAATGCATGATATTTTTGTCATCTGTAAGTATGTTAACAGCATTCATTAGAGAATGGTGAATTGATGTGGCATACTTGACTGTGTTATGTTTTATCATGTTTTGTTCTAGTTAGCACACAAGCATCGTTCCCCCTGTTGGAGGGCTCTAACCTGGTCCTTTTCATACTCCACTGTGCACACTAATCACTAGGGTCATGTTAAAATCAGATTCTGTTTCTACAGCATAGAGTCCAAGAGTCTACATGTCTAATAGGAGATACAGATATTGATGTCATTGGGCCTCAGACCACAAGGCTTTCACACCAATCCACTTTCCTGCTTCCAGTGCTTCACCAGCCCTTTCTTACCGTCTGACTAAAGCTGCAGCTTCTGAGTGAAGGGATTCATCATGGGCTTATTTTTTGATGCAGTCTCTCTTACTAACTTTTTCCCCTCCCCCAGTCCCAACTCCTGCACATACCTCTGGGCTCTGCAATGGCATTGAACTACTTGTAGTTTCCTTAGTAGACCTTGTTATTGCATACTTTTTTTGTCATGTTCCTTCCACCTGACTACACTTTCTCTTCTTGGCTTACTCTGGTTGGCCCCTTTGATACACTACTTATATTATCTTCAGACTGGGTTATAGTCTTCTATTTTGCTTATAAGAAACCCTCAGCTTCTTTTATTCCACACTGTATTGAAATGATTGATCTACTGGCCCGTTCCTATTTGGGGCGGAAGGAACTTATAGACACTGCTAGCATATAGTAGGTAGGTACTTAGAAAATGCCTAAATTGACATGATACCTCCCATAAAATATTTCCAATAATGACAGATTTTTAACAGTTATTTGGCCTTTGTTTTTTTTTTTTCTACCCGTAAGTAGTAACTCCTGTGTAAAGGTAGTTTAACAATGTTTTGGCCATGGAATTAGATCAATTCCCAACCCCACCCCTTAAGTAACTGTGACACTTAGGGCCAGTTGCTCAGCTCTCTTAAGTCTTACCTGTAAATAAAGGTAATGGTAATATTGGTACTGCCTTGTAACAATATTGTGAAAATTTAGATAAGGCTATCTATAAAGTATGTAGTAGCAAAGACATAGTAAGTACTCAGTAATGTTAATTGTATCATTAAGGGAAAAGAATGAAACCCAATTCCTAAAGAGCCAAGAGATTTAAATGATCAGTGAGAATGGGGCATGCAGTCATTGTTTTAATATTTAGTCTATAATATGTTTTCAAACTTGAGTGTACTTACAGGACTACCTGGGTGCTTGTTAGATGTATGGATTCACTAGGCCCGATAGGTCTGAGAATGTTCAGGGATCTGCATTTTTAAATGGTTCTTTATTTTTGAGAGAGAGAGAAAGAGAGAGTGTGCATGCACTAGTTGGGGAGGGGCAGAAAGAGGGGGACAGAGGATCTCAAGCGGGCTCTGTCCTAACAGCAGAGAGCCCAATGCGGGGCATGAACTCATGAGCCATGAGATCATGACCTGAGCTGAAGTAGGTCGCTTAACTGACTGAGCCTCCCAGGTGACCCTGGAGATTTGTATTTTTAATTACTCTTCTGGTTGATGTAGACTGCCCATGGAACACACTTTAGAAACCCTAGTGCTTCATAGAAGCACCAAATTGAGGTCTCCTAACTATCAGATAGATAATATGAAATGAGAAGTTAGTAAGAGAAAATCAAGTCGAACTAAGAATAGATAACCTAGAGGCAGGAATAAAGTTGCCACGATGTTCACATTTCACATGTTTAATGACTCAGACATTTAATGACTTTTATTTTTTTCACTTTTAATTTAGGATGTCTGAACAGGGACGAACAATCATTTTCTCCATTCATCAGCCTCGTTACTCTATCTTCAAGTTGTTTGATAGCCTCACCTTGTTGGCCTCAGGAAGACTAATGTTCCATGGGCCTGCCCAGGAGGCCTTGGGTTACTTTGCATTAATGGGTATGCTTGACTTTTTCATGTAGTAAGATCCTTTATTAAGAGAATCCTAAAGAGAGTAAAAGGGATCTATAGGAATGCTGTTGATTTTTGAGTAGACATACCATGGCTTCCCCCATTCCAACACAACTTTGGTAGTTTGGTGCTAGAATTTTTCTTCACTTTGTAGCACTAGCCTGTTCTTTGGGTCTTTTTCCTGACCTGGTTGAGTATGTCTGCATGCGTGTGCAGGAGTATTTCTACTGGGCCTTACCTGATCTGCTTCCCACTTCAGTTCAGGATATATGTTGGCTTCATAGCCAGTTATGTCTGTTGAACATTTTGGGAAAGGCCTAATAGTATCCTCCAATTATCTTCTTGACTGTATTATGGATCAGGCTTTATCACTGTATTCCCTCGTAGAAGATGTTAGTCTCCTTTGGTGGAGGTTCATAAGATGCTACTTAAAATTTTCTAGTAACGTTAGATTGCAGATTTAGGCCTTGAGGGGGTGTGAGTGACTTGCCAGTTAATAGAATGACTAGTTGTCTTTGAGGGACCGACATTTCTGACAGTTTTGGACTGCTTGGTTCTATTTAGAATGGAAGTATGTAATTGTTTTTTTACGACTCACGTTGTCTGCTTTATTTTATTAAACATTTTTAAATGTTTATTTTTTAGAGAGATAGTGCACATATGAGCCAGGGAGGGGCAGAGAGAGAGGGAGACAGAGAATCTGAAGCAGGCTCCATGCTATCTGCACAAAGCCTGACATGTGGCTCGAACTCACAAACCGTGAGATTAGGACCTGAGCCGAAGTCGTACACTCAACCAACCGAGCCACCCAGGCGCCGCTGCTTCATTTTAGAGATATTTGGATACGATTATAGATGATGCTCCATGACTCCAAATATAGTTTTAAATATTCACTAGCCAGTTTTAAAAATTTCCATTTAATGTCCATCATTTAAAGTTAATAAGCACACACAGGTCTAAGGAGTTTAGGGGAGATGAACCTAGAGTCAAACTGGAGGCCAAGTTGAGTCCAGAGGATTGTGCCACAGAAGCTGAGATAAGCATTCAGCTGTGTTGTGCCAGTCACATTCTCTTGGGAGTGCTGCTCTGGTGATTTGTTCTCCCTATTGGAATTATGACAGCACAATGAATGCATATTTGGCCATCCCCAGGTGAACTTGGAGAGCAGAACACACCCCTGGCCTCTCCCAAGGACAGTCCTGCTGTGCTGTAGCATTCTTTTCTTGTGGCCTTGCTTTGAAGAGCATTAGTTCCAGCTACAGCTTTTTTTTTTAACTTATTTTTATTTGCACCTATATTTCTATTTTTGAAGAAGTTCTGATAAGCCTCAGAGCATACTGAGGATAGCTGTTTCAGGTCTCATGAACTAAGATGGGTAAGGACCTAGTATGAACTTTCTGAGAGTCCTAGGTTGGTTTTAAGTGTGTATTTTTCTGGGAGACAGAGCATTGCTGAAATGTTGTGTGATTGAATGTATAAAAAGAAAAGGTAAATTAGTGAAGGGAGAAGAGAAAAAAAAAAGTGAGGGAGAAGTTGTCAGATTCTCTCCCTCTCCCTCACCTCTCTCACCCCTGTAAGTGAGTTTCTGTTTTCCAAGACCATCAAGTTTGTGTACCTGAGTTGCCTTCTTTTGTAGGTTACCAGTGTGAGCCCTATAATAACCCTGCAGACTTCTTCCTGGATGTCATTAATGGAGACTCCTCTGCTGTGGTATTAAACAGACAGGACCAGGCGGGTGAAGGTATGAAAATCTGTTGAGAGTCACAGGTTATTGCTTCACTGCATTAGCTGAAGTTTAGCAATGTGGCAACTCATTAAATCATGGCTTTGTGAATTTATATTAATACTGTCCTCTGATAACCGTTGTCTTAGTCCACTTGGGCTACCATGACAACAATACCATAGACAGGTGGCTTAAACAATAAACATTTATTTTTCACAGTTCTGGAGTGGGAAGTCCAAGATGAAGGTATCTGCAGATTCATTGTTGAGGACCCGCTTCCTGGTTCAGAGATGGGTCACCATCTTCTCATTGCCTCCTCACATGGTGGAAGTAGGGAGGGAGCTCTCTGAGGCCTCTTTTATAAGTTTACCAATCCCATTAATGAGGACAACACCCTCATGACTTAATAACCCCTCAGAGGTCCCGCCTTCAAATATCATCACATTGGGGATTGAGTTTTAGCATATGAATCTTGAGGGATCACAAACATTCACTCTATGGCACTGGTCAACACAGATTTTGTGTTCCTTGACTGTTGAGAATATTTTTGATTTAATTTATAAATAAGCATTTATATGATAGTATCAGTTCTAAGGGGAATTTTTATTTAAAAAATGCCCATGGATTCTATAGTGTTTTGAAATAAGAAACTTGGCAATTTATGTATTTGCATATAGAAGAAAACAAAGGCAAGATTTTTCTATTAGGAATTATAACTTGCTACGATAAGATGTCTATTTTAAAAGAATTAGGGTTCAAATATTATAGTTAGGAAAAGGTCAGTAGGTTTGCTGTATTCATAAGTTTATGGGAGTAGTCAGTCAATTAACTGTATTTTTCTTTTTTTTTTAATTTTTTTTTGAATGTTTATTTTTGAGAGAGAGAGAGAGACAGAGCATGAGCGGGGGAGGGACAGAGAGAAAGGGAGACACAGAATCCGAAGCAGGCTTCGGGCTCCGAGCTGTCAGCACAGAGCCCGATGCCCGATGTGGGGCTCTAACTCATGAGCCATGAGATCATGACCTGAGCCAAAGTCAGACGCTCAACCGACTGAGCCACCCAGGCACCCCAATTAACTCTATTTTTCTAATGTTGTAGAGCAATGACAGATCTAACAATTTTTTATACTCAAGCATTAGAATTAAGGTATTAGGGAAGAATCTAAGAAAAGGGTTGCCGAAAAATGGGCTAAATCAGTTGTTACTCTATTAATAAAGTTTCCCTTCTTTATCTACTTTTATTCCAAAGCCAAGGAGACTGAAGAACCTTCCAAGAGAGATATTCCACTCATTGAAAAAATAGCTGAGTTTTATGCCAACTCTGCCTTCTCCAGAAAAACAAAAGATGAATTAAATCAACTCTCAGAGGGTCAGAAAAAGAAGAGCTCAGCCTTTGGGGAGATCACCTATGCCACCTCCTTCTGTCATCAACTCAGATGGATTTCCAAGCGTTCATTCAAAAACTTACTGGGTAACCCTCAGGCCTCTATAGCTCAGGTAACCTGACAGATTCTTCTGATTATGCTCAGACATATCATGTGGGAATATTAGGTTGTAATATAACCTATTTTAGGATTATGCTTATCTTCTACTCAACATTCTATTTATTTATCCCCACTCCATTTGGGATATAGAAACAGCCAACAGAACAAGTAAAACACAATGAAATTTTTACTTAAGGAAAATATTTTCTTTTTTTATGGGTTTTTTTTTTTTTACTACCTAACTCAGAATTTTTGTTGATTTAGACAAGCTGTAATGGATAATCTTTATAGAAATTTGTTTTCTCCAAAATTGTGAAGTAAAGGAGATGTTTAGCCACATCTATAGTTTTCTGATAGCTGCATGCATTCATTTCCTGATCCACTCAACAAAAGTTCTTACTGATCACATATGGCATTTTGGGAGCTTATATACAGCAGTGAACAAAATGGGCAAAAATAAAACCTCTGTTCTCATGGAGCCTACTTTCCAATGAGGCAAACAGATGACAAATTCATACAGAAATTAACTATATAGCAAGTCAGGTGGTAAAAGTGTCTGTGGGGAACTTTTAAGCAGAAAAGCAGAGAAAGGAAGAGAAAAAGGTAGAAGGAACAGGGAGGGGGAAAGAGGGAGAGTGGAAAGGAGTTGATTGCATTTGAAATCGGTTGGCCGGGGAAGCCTGGATCTGGAAGTCACTGAATGCCTTAGAAGGTCATGGGGGCCAGCTGCTTTCTGAGGGAAGAGCCTGTGTACAAATGTTGTTCCTTATAATTGACCTTCTTCCTTTTGGGATTTGAATCTTAGGAGAGCACTAAGATACCTACAACAGTTTGTAGTTACCACAGTGTAGTAAGCAGACTTTAATTCTGTTAAACAAGGGTATTCACTGTCAGATTGACTTTCTTTTAATAATGATGAAATCCTGTTCTTTTTCTATTTTGGCTGGCTCTGTTCAGAGTTGTTGATTATTACTCTTATTTTTCTGTAATTCTCAGGTGCTCTGTCATATAAAACTCTAGTATTCCCAGTTTATTGGACCATTCTTTTCAAGGAAGTCAGTTTAGCTAGTTATTTTGGGGGTTATTGATTTTACTGTCAATCGTTGAATTTCTGTCAAGTACTAAAAGATGATGTGCTGTTGGCACTAATAAGATATTACTGACTTCTTACCACGTGCACCATAATTTTCATACTTCAGTACAATTGCTTTGTAAGTATTAATACCAAGAATCTGTATCCCTTTTTGAGATACCCTGCCAGTTGCTCCAAACATTTTTGCTACTTGTTATTTGACATTTCTGTCAGAATATGCACACTTCTGTGTACTAGCAATCAAGGTTAAATTTTTATTCTTTTATAGTATATTTGATGTCTTTTGAGTACAAGTCTGGTAAACAAAGTCAACCTGGTTACCCATTGTTCCAACATCACTATTGGAATGTGATGGAGTTGGTTCTTTAGTGTGATTTATAGATTTTTTTTTTACTTGGAAAATAACTTAAATTTCTCTTGCCTCTGAAAGTGATTTACAAGTGTCTTGTCCAAGTCACAATATGGTAGTCTGAGAAGAATATGATTAGAATGTGGAGGTATTTCTTTTTTTATTTTTTTAAAAGTTTTTATTTAAATTCCAATCAGTTAACATTTAGTGTAATATTAGTTTCAGGTGTACAATTTAGTGATTCAACACTTCCATACAACACCTGGTGCTCATCACCACAACTGCACTCTTTAATCCCCCTCACCTATTTAACCCAACCCCTCACCCCCCACCTCTGCTCTGGTAACCATCAGTTTGTTCTCTATAGTTAAAAGTCTGTTTCTTGACTTGCCTCTCTCTCTCTTTTTTTTCTCCTTTTCTTGTTTGTTTTGTTTCTTAAATTCCACATATGAGTGAAATCATGTCTTTCTCTCCCTCACTTATTTTGCATAGCACAGTACTCTAGCTCCATCCACGTTATTGCAAATGGAAAGATTTCATTTTTTTGGCTGAGTAATATCCAATTACATGTATATATACCACATCTTCTTTATCCCTTCATCAGTCAGTGGACATTTGGGAATCTTTCCATAATTTAGCTATGGTAGGCAATGCTGCTGTAAACATAGGGGTGCATGTGTCCCTTTGAATTCGTGTTTTTGTATTCTTTGGGTGAATACCTGGTCTGCAATTGCTGGATCATAGGGTAGTTCTATTTTTAACTTTTTGAGGAATCTCCATACTGTTTTGCAGTGTGGCTGCACCAGTTTGTATTCCCATCAAAAGTGTAAGAGGGTTCCCTTTTCTAAAATGTGGAACTATTTCTAATACACCATGACTCTGCATCTTTTGTTGCTAGGCTTACTTCAGATGTAGACCCAGGCCTAGTGCCTCCAGGTTGCATATTCAGCCTACTTGCTTCCTCAATGAACTCAGTTCCACTAAAGGAGTCCCAACAGTGTTCAGAGTAGTGGCAGTCTCCTAGAACAAAGATAGAACATTGCATCTCTCTGAGTATCTGCTGTTCAGATTTGTAGATACTGGAATGTTTGCTTAGAACAGGAGCAGGCAAACCTTTATTGTAAGGGGCTAGGTAGTAAATACTTTGGGCTTTGTGGGCCATGTGGTCTTTGTCTCTAGCCTTTCCCATTTTAGCTTGAAAGGAGCCATAGATAATATATAAACAAATGAACATAGTTGTGTTCCAATAAAACTTTATTGATGGATACTGAAACTTGAATTTCATTTAAATTTCATGTGGCAAGAAATATTCTTCTCTCACTTTTCTTTTCTACCAACCATTAAAAAAGTGGTAAAAACTGTTCTTAGCTAGAGGGCTGAACAGAAATAGGTGACAGGCCATGTTTGACCTATAGATCCTAGCTTGCTGACCTTCAGTTTAGTGGTTTCAAACTCATGTATGTTGTTTACTTTTTAAAGTATTTGAACATGAAGCTGTTAAACTGTTTTATGGCTTCCCGCTGATAAATCCTGTATCAGTTGTATTACAGCCATACCTAGATTTCAACTAGTCACTTCCATGATTCAGACTTTGCTTCTAATAATGCCCTTTAACCAAAGGTTGTATTTGAATGATCTGGGAGTGAATGGATCATCTGTATAGAAGGATTTAATGTTCATTTAATGTGCCATGGGTTTTTCTGATCAAATTAATTTGGAAAACACTATCGTATCTCCTAAAGATTCATTTTTTCTACTGGCACATTTTACATTTGACTAGGGATGTTTTTTGAGTAATGGCCATAATTATCCCTCAGAACTCACCTTGAGATATATTGCTAAACACAGCTGAATAAGACAGAATAACATATTTAGGGAATTTCTTTTTTTTTTTTTTTTTTCCTTCTGTTCAGAACAGAGCCCAGGTGCACAAGACTTACAGTATCTCCTCTTTGTGTGCTCTGTTGAGCAATGCTTAGTTTGGCTATTTTTTTTCTCTTTTCTGTAATCCAAGAAAGAATAACGTGGATTCACCTTGTAAAAAGCATGACAAAATTATGAGACTGATCATAGCGAACATCCTTTGGTAATATTGACTATCGAACCTTTAGCGAACATCCTAATGGTAATATTGACAGTATCTTTTATATGCAAAAGAAACAAGCATGTAGAGTGTCCAGATTAAAAAGTCCAGACATTCTTTTTTTTTTTTTTTCAATGTTTATTTTTGGGACAGAGAGAGACAGAGTATGAATGGGGGAGGGGCAGAGAGAGAGGGAGACACAGAATCGGAAACAGGCTCCAGGCTCTGAGCCATCAGCCCAGAGCCCGATGCGGGGCTCGAACTCAGGGACCGCGAGATCGTGACCTGGCTGAAGTCGGACGCTCAACCGACTGCGCCACCCAGGCGCCCCAAAAGTCCAGACATTCTTAAAGCTATACTGGGTGAACATAGAGACTTGTATATATACACATGCACACATGGTAATGGAGCCATCATCATTTATTTTGGAAGCTTATCTGTTGGCATGAAGTACAGTATATTCTGAGGGTAATGAAAATATACCAGGGTAATAGATTTTTTTCTCCAAATTTCTGACTGTCTTATTAACAAGGGAATTTTAAAGACATCTCAGATCATACTTTTTCCAGACTGTGGTTTTCACAAACTAGCCTCCACAGATCATGATCCTGTTTACCCGTTTGGTTTGCTTCATGCCAAAATATGCTTTAAAAAATTCCTTCAAGTCTTGATACCATTGTACTGTAGTAGTACTGAGATTTTTTTATTTTATTTTTTAACTTTGAAGGTTCCAAGATACATGGTGGGATATTTTGTTTTCTTCAGATTACCATTTCTTACATTTTTTAAATTTAATACAACATAAAAGTACAATACGTAGAACTTTCCTAAATAAATTGTGTCATAGTATAACCCTTAATCCTTTGCTTATAGAAGTGTCTTTAAGAGATATTTTGTCAATCTTAAAAACAAAAGTGATATTTATCCAGTCTACTTGAGTCCTCAAACAGACCGAGTAAGTGAAGGTAGGTAAGAGTGGCAAAAAACTGGCAGCTTAGTTCTACTCGTTTGGCTGCAGGCCCTTGGGCTGAGGTGGCTGGAGAAGCAGTGACAAGAGAATGGGTAGTGAAAGTACTTGGGTACCCTCAGAGAGAGCTGGTTGAATGCTTTGGTGGCAGTGACAGTGCACTTTTCCAGTGCAGGCATAGACTGTCCCCTGGGTCAGATAGGCGGGCCCCAGCTTAACGCTGCTTCCTTATCACATGAAATAACATTGTTAGAATTGTTTTATATGTGCTTGAAACATTTTATTTATTTTTAATGTTAAAAGTAAAAATATCCTCGGGTGCCTGCGTGGCTGTCGGTTAAGTGTTCAACTCTTGATTTTGGCTCGGGTCCTTGATCTCACAGTTGTGAGACTGAGCCCCGTGTCAGGCTCTGTGCTGAGTGTGGAGTCTGCTTGGGATTCTCTCTCTCTCTGTCTCTCTTTCTCTCTCTCTCCCTCTGCCCCTCTACCCTGCTCTCGCTCTCTCTCTCTCTCTCTCTCACACACACACACGCACATATTCTCTCAAAATAAACATTTTTTAAAAAGTCATTTTAAAAAAAGAGTAAAGATATCCTGTTTTTACTTGAGCCTCTTCAAATATAAAACTGCATGTTCACTAGCACAAAGGTTGAAAGTTCAGGTCAGAACTCTTGAGCCACTTGGACTTTATTTTATTTCTCAATGACTTAGCCATGCACTTGCATTGCTTCCCTACTCTATATGGCCTTCCCAGGCCTGGTAGTTTGAACTAGACCTTGAACTGGCCTGGTGAATCAGTGGGGGGATCCTTAGAGTTCTAGGAGTTTACTGTGTTCTACTGTCAGCCTCCCCAACACACAGATAAATTATTTTTTAATTTAGAAAGCGGTCTAATAACATACACTGTTCCATATTCTCCCAAGGGCTTTGGCTGAACGATTTGAAGTATCTATCTCAATGGAGAAATTTGGTTATGTAGCCATATAATAATCATAAGTGGCGTGTTGTTTTTGCCTTTAATTAAGACTTTTCTTCTTTTTCTTTTCGAAAAGATAATTGTAACAATCATCCTGGGATTGGTTATAGGTGCCATTTTCTATGATTTAAAAAATGATTCTGCAGGAATCCAGAATAGGTAAGTAAATTTGGATCTTGATTTTGAGAAAGTGTTGTTACTTCTTTCAAGCTTATGAAAATCCATTAAGAATTTAAATTTGAGGGGTGCCTGGGTGGCTCAGTCAGTTAAATGTCTGATTCTTGATTTCGGCAGGTCATGATCTCACAGTTCATGAGATTGAGCCCCATGTTGGGCTCTCAGTGTTGACAGTGCAGGCCTGCTTGGGATTCTCTCTTTCCATGGCTCTCTGCCCCCTCCCTGTTTGTGCTCGCTTGTGGGCACACACACACACTCTCTCTCAAAATAAATAAAATTAAAAAAAAAAGAATTTAAATTTGAGACAAGGTAAACTGAAGAGTAGGGTAAGTCAGTGAATTGAAAGCTGGAGGGATATGTGTGTGTGTGTGTGTGTGTGTGTGTGTGTGTGTGTGCATGCATATGTATACATATAGTGGTAATTATATATATGTGTGTATGTGTGTATATGTATACATATATAGTGGTAATTTACATAGTACATAAAATTTACCTTCTTAAACAGTTTTAAGTATACAGTTCAGTGGCATTAATTATTTTCCATTATTGCATATTTCCATTATTCCATATAATCCACATTTATACTTTCTGTCTCCCAATTTGATTACTCTAGGTACTGATATAAGTGGAATCCTACAGTATTTGTCCTTTGGTAACTCACTTATTTCCTTTACATAGTATCTTCAAGGTTCATCCATGTTGTGGCACATGTCAGAATTTCCTTCCTTTTAAAGACTGAGTAATATTCCAATGTATGGATATATCATATTTTGTTTATGCATTTATCTGTCTTGGACACTTGGATTATTTCTACCTTTTGGCTGTTGTGAATTTTGGGGAGGAAGAATAGTCTGCTCTTCAGAGTTCCTCTAGTAGGACTAAGAATCACGTTGATATAAGACAGATTAACAGGAGAAAATCAAATTCAGTAGCATGTGAATCCACACAGACATGAAATTCCAAAAACAGGCAACATGATGCCTATGTGAGCTAAGGAGAGGGGTGGGTAAGGTCTGAGGATACACTGGGAGAAAGATCTTAGGAAGTTGAGAGATGATATTTGGAAAACTAAAGTTGCCTCTTATGCAAATAAGTTTCTTAGGTAAAGACAATCTTTCTTAGTAACTTGCTTCCTGGTATAGGCTCTCCTTTCCAATGTAAATTTAGGCAGTTGAGGGAGCGGTAAAAAGCTTTTCCAGAATCTGCAGGTAATTGATTGCTTTTAGCTCAAAATAGTCTTCATGTCAAAGTAACCCAAGTTGGAGTGACCCGCCCTTTGCCCTTCATTGAGTAATGCTGCTGTGAGTGAGGATTTACAAGTAAATATCTGTTTAAGTCTCTGCTTTAAATTCTTTTGGGTTTATACTCAGAAGTAGAATTACTGGATCGTTTGGTAATTCTATCAAGTATCCTGTCTTCCACAGCAGCTGTATTATTTTGCATTCCTACCAGCAGTGCCCAAGGTTTCAATTCCTCTGCAACCTCACCAAACTTGTTATTTTCTGTTTTTTTCTTTTGCTTTTTTATAATAATAATAACCATCCTGATTGGTGTCGAGTGATATCTCATGCGGTTTTGATTAGCGTTCTCCTAATGATTAGTGATGTTAAGCATTTTTAATATGCTTATTGCCATGTGTATCTTCTTTGGAGAAATGGCTATTCAAATCCTTTGCCCATTTTTTTTATTTGGATTCTTTTTATTGTTGAATTGTATGTGTTCTTTTTATATTTTGGATATTAACCCCTTATTGTGTATAAATTTGCAAATATTTTCTGATATTCTGTGGGTTGTCTTCACTATTGAGTGTGTCCTTTGATGCACATGAGTTTTAAATTTTGATGTAGTCCAGTTTGTCTGGGTTTTTTTTTGTCTTTTTTTAAATTTTTATTTATTTATTTTGAGAGAGGGGAGAGATGTGTATGTGTGCAAGCGGGAGAGGGGTAGAGAGACTGGGAGAGAGAATCTCAAGCAGCCTCTGCACTGTCACTGCAGAGCTCAATGCACGGCTCTATCTCATGACCCTGAGATCCTGACCTGAGCTGAAGTCAGGAGTCTGACACTCAACTGACTGAGCCACCCAGACACCCCATCTGTTTTTTTCTTTTGTTGCTTGTGAGTAATTTTTTTCTCTATTTTTTGATTTGTTTGCCATGAGGAGGTGGATGAGACTTAGGTTTTTCTGTTATATGGTTAGCACTCTACCTTAGCGAGTTTTAGTCATTATGTGCCCTTAAAAATAGTTTTTCATAATGAGACTTTGTAATGAGGTCTAGCTTGCTCCAAATGTAGATGCTCAGTGATGTCCAGGACTGTAGAGTTCTCTTTATACTTCATGTGTAAAACTGTCCTGTGCCAGGCATTGTGCTCTACGCTTTAAATCACAGACTCTGGTTACCCTTCTGCCCAGAGGGATGGGTGATATTATCCCCATTTTACCATAAGGATATGAAGAAGGTGCAGTAGCTTAAGTTGAATCTGTTTTGATGTCTGGAGAAAGCTGATTGTTTATGAAAGAAAGAATAAGCATAAAAGTCAATTCTTCACTCAAGTAAAATAAATGATCTCCAAAATAAATGGAATTAAGTAGTGTTACTCTACGTTGAGATTATTATGGCAGCTCATTTACAGAGTTATGTCATTGTTTTTCTCTTTACCTCTTCCCTGAAGACAGTGTTCTCTCACTTCCAGGCTTGCTAGTAATTGATGATTTGTACCTTTTGTAAATGCCATATTTTTACCAAGCACAGAGTATAGGTCACAAGATCTATAGAACCTGTGGACCTTTTGTGTTGTGCAGTTGGAAGCTTTTGGAATAAATATTGGAAAACCTGTCCTTAACTGGCATTTTAAAGGGAAACTGGAAATCTAACCATTAAAATTCTTGATAGAAGAATCCAGAGAAATAAAGAAGAGCTTTAGCAGTTTCTTCAAATTTATTCTGGAGAAATAGGGCATTGGATTTATTTTAATTTGTGTGGTATTTTAAAAATATTTTATTTATTTTTGATAAAGACAGAGTATGAGTAGGGGAGGGGAAAAGAGAGAGGGAGACACAGAATCCAAAGCAGGCTCCAGACTCTGAGCTGTCAAGCCTGACATGGGGCTTGAACTCGTGAACCACAAGATCACAATCTGAGCTGAAGTCAGATGCTCAACTGATTGAGCCACCCAGGCACCCCTTAATTTGTGTTTTTTGACTTAAACTTGCTGCCACTTTTTCATCATTTGAAATTGCTCAGGAGGCTGGGGGTTTGGTTCTCTTCTTTGGGAATGAATTATCCCAGAGAGGCGCTCTCTGCTCTCTTACATGTGTAACTGACAAGCTGGGTTTTATTAGTATATAGAGTTTAAGCTTTTTTTTTTTTAATGTTTATTTATTTTCTGAGAGATAGAGCACATAAACGGGGGAGGGGCAGAGACAGAGAGAATCCCAAGCAGGCTCTGCACTGCCAGCACTCTGTACAGCCCGATGCAGGGCTCGAACCCATGAACCATGAGATCATGACCTGAACTGAAGGTAAGAGCCAGATGCTTAACTTAGTGAGCCACCTAGGCTCCCGGAGTATGAGCTTCTTTGACCTAATAGTTACCTTACAGGGTTGTGGTGATAGCTAAACAAATTAATGCATATTAAGAAAAAAGATAGTTTTAAAAATATTTGGATAATAAGGAGATATTACAGACATGGATTACCCGATTGAAAAGTATTAGAAAACCTTAAATTTTTTAGTAATAAAAGCTGTATTTACTGTTAAATAAATCATCTTATGATTTAGAAGTAATGTCACTATCTACTAGTTCAGAATCCTGATGAACAAACAGTATTATTAGATATAAGATCTGACAAATTGAGCTGAATTGTTGCATGTCCCATATTTCTGAAATTAGCTTTTATTCTGATAGTAGGCTTATTTGTGTGGAGAAGGTTGCATAGCTGCCTTTGTACTAGGTCTGGCTATTTCCTATTTATTAATTATAAGTTAAACATTTACTTTTAAAACAGTCTGTTTTCTGTCTTCTGTTTTATTTATTTTTGGCATTGAAAACAATTACTGAGTATCTGGACTTCTTTCTTTCTTTCTTTTTTTGAGAGGATGTACACTTGAGTTTCTATTTGTTCTCTCTTATTTTTGCATCATTTAAATGATGGGTCACTTCAGCTCTTTCAGTTTCAGCTCACATCCTCATGTCAATTAAATGGTTTGGTTATGAAGGGCAGCCCAACACTGTCTGAGGGATGTTAGCATGCTTTTGTAAGATGCATAGGTCTATCCAAGTGTCTTTCCTTTTTGAGCCTTCGTTATTTTACTGAGAAACAAGCATTAGTAGTCTTCCTTTTCTTACAGATGCAAAAATAAATTTTTCCTTTATAAGCATCATTTTGTTTTCTGAGCACGTTTGAAGCCATTTTGGTGATGGCCTACCAAGGATAATATCAAGGCTGTACTGACGATTGTGTGGTGGAGGTCTATAATAAGGTGTCGACTGAGGTTTTCCTCCCCCATCATTTTGCCTCTTCATATCCTAGTTTCTTCTTTACTTTAAAAATGTGGCTAATAGAGGCTTTTTTTTTAAGCTCTACAGACTTTATTTGGTTCACTATTTCTTTGTTCATACATTAGGAATGATACTTGTTGTTTTTGTTAGGTAAAATTCAAGATAATATTTTTATGACCTGTGTATTCATCAGCACAGGCTGCCATCAGAAAGAACCATAGTCTGGTGGCTTCAACAACAGTTTAAACAACAACTTCTTACAGTTGAGGAGATCAGGGTGCTTCCGTTGTCAGGTTCTGATGAGAGCTCTCTTCCTGGCTAACAGATGGCCACCTTTTTGCTGTGTCCTCACATGGCAGAGAGAGAGAGCACACTCTGGTGTCTCTCCCTTTCTTTTAAGGACACTAATCCTGTCATGGGGACTCTACCCTCATGGTCTCATCTAAATCTCATTACCTCCCAAAGACAGAATTGTCTCTAAATATCATCTCATTGAAGGTTTAGGCTTCAACATAGGAATTTGGGGAGGACACAATTCAATCCATAGCAATCCAGGACTGTGACTTCCAAACTGTGCTCTGTGGAGTCCCAGGGGTACCACCGTGTGTACAGAGAGATGGTAGGGAGAGAGCTGATGGAGCTCATAGTTCCCTCTGTTTAAACCAGAACAGTGTTCTATTTAATGTTATAAGGTATCATTTGAGGAGAGAATTTCATGGGTAGAAAATTGATCTAAGAATGTTTAATCGACTACAGTGCTTTTTTTTCCCCTTTCTCTCATTGCAGATCAGGGGTGCTCTTCTTCCTCACGACCAACCAGTGTTTCAGCAGTATCTCAGCTGTGGAGCTTTTTGTGGTTGAGAAGAAGCTCTTTATGTGAGTAGGTCTCTGTTCCAGGAAGGGGGCTGTCTGGTATCAGGGGGTGTTGGTCAAACTGGTCATATCCTGTATTGGGCTGCAGGGTGGTTCCTAGGGATTGCCAATGTTGAGAAAAAGCATCCAGAGACTGAAAAGGCAGTCATGAACCTGTGGGACCTGATACCAGGGGAAAAAGGAGTTCAAGATTAGGGCAGAGCCAGCAAATCCAAATGCTGCAGATAAAGCCAGCAATAAAGGGGCTGAAAAGGAGCTTTTGTTTTTAGCAAATGATAAGTCTTAATGGCCTTTCACAAGAAAAGTTAGAGGGGCTTGGTAGAGAGAAAGTAGTGGATTGAGCCAGTAAATATAAGGTAAGGAGGTAAAGTTGACAAAGAATGTGAACCCAGCTTAGCCCTCAATGGGAGGGGGACTAGAAGAAGGCAAAGGGCAGCCTTAAAAGAAGGTATGGGCTGTTTTGTTTCTTGTGTTTTTTAAAGTTGGAAGAAATTTGCCCATATTTACATGCTAAGGAAAGGAATCCTTCCAGAGGGAAAGAATAAAGATGTTGGTGGAGGAGTTTGGAATTATAGGAGGAAGATGTCAGGAAGAGGAAGGGATCTAGAAGTGGAGAGGAAAGAAAACAGGATTTCATAGCTGACAGGGATGTATGGTTGGAGGATATGATCATTGAAGGAAGAAGTGCCATTTTCTTTTTTATCATGAGGTTGGAAGAAGTGATCCAAGACTGCATTAGGAAGTTCAGAGGATAGCAGTGTCACCTTCTTCATAATCAAAAGTGGGGAGAAAGTAAAGCTGATACCACAGCTGAGCTCCAGTGCTGGGAGAGAGGGAAGAGACAGATCTGCTCGCTGGGAGCAGGTGCTCAGGGAGCAGAATGGGCGGCACTCGGAGGGAGTTCTATAATGAGAAGAAGGGTGTTGCACAGACCTGCATGGAGGTGACATCCCAGGAGAGGCCCCCACCTTAGATGGTGCCTGATGCTGACAAGGATGGAGGCTGGGTGTTCACCTCCAGGATGTGAGAAGCTGTAGTTGTTAGACCCCTGGTGGCAGCAGAAGTCTGTACAGTGAGCAATCTAATCTGTTCTCTGCCTTCCTAAACTAATGTAGGATGAGTTTTTCTTTTTCAGACATGAATATATCAGTGGATACTACAGAGTGTCATCTTATTTCTTTGGAAAACTGATATCTGATTTACTACCCATGAGGATATTACCAAGTATTATATTTACTTGTATAATATACTTCTTGTTAGGTAAGCAACATGACAAAAGGTATGTGTGTCTTTAGTCTTGGATATGAGGCCAATTTGTTTATACCAGCATATTTTTGGTTCTCAAACTCTAAACCACGCCAGTGAGATAAGGAGACATCTATCCATTGTGCACACTCTCAATAATTTCTCTGAGGACATTTTTTCAAGACTTGTCCCAAACTAACTTTTAAAACTTTTTATAAAACTGTATTTTACTGTGAGATGCTATGTATCATTTACAAACATGGAAAGAAGTCACAAGAGTATTTGACACTATGCTGGAGGAGCTGGAATATTTAGTACCATTTATATTTTTGTGTGTATGCATGTGTTTGTGTGTGAAGATAGTGAAAGATGTGACTTTTGAGGCTTCTTAGTTTAATACAAATACTTGTTTGATAGGTGTGGTTATTAGATTCATTTGTGCATTGTGTTTAGGCTTTACCCCAGGCTCACTGCATCAGAATTTCCATGTATTTTACTGATACACATAAACACATACACATCAGAAATATATATTTTAATTAAAAAAAAATATATATATATAACTAAAGCACTAAGAAGATTCACTGATTGAATTAAACTTCCATTTTACAAATAAGAGGTGTGTCAAGTATTTAGGCATAGAACCTAGATCCTCAGGCTCCTTCCAAAATCTTCAGATTGTATGACCCATAATATTAGTCCATTATGATTTGTAAAGTAGTCTTATGAAATTTATTTAGCCCCACCCTCAATCCCAGAGTTATATGGTGATTTGTCTTGGGAGACTTGGCTTTTGAAGACACTACCCCAGATAGTGAAACCACTGGAAGGTCACATAATCTTCATCTTCCCAGTTTCTTCACACAACGCAGTTATAGCCAGTAGTCATGTGGTGATGTCTGGGTAGAACGAATGTGCTCTTGACAAGTTTCCTTCTTAGAAGAAATGGCTGTAGAATTGTGACCACTTGTGTTGCCTACAGCTATCCATCTCAGGCACTCAGAAATTGTTAATAATTACACATAAAGAAGCATAGATGTTACATAGAAATGTACTTATACAGTAAGTATAAAAAGAAAGTGTATGATAACTTTATACAGTAGGATGGGGTGGTCGGATAGAGGATGAATTTTCTTCATTCTGATATTTGTTTCTCAAAATATTATAGTGCCATTTGCACAAAGCAATCTCAAATACACTGTTATCTAGGTGGTTGGATTCAACCCCCTCTTTTCTTCCCAACCAAGGATTGAAACCAGTTGTGGAGGCTTTCTTCATCATGATGTTTACCCTTATGATGGTGGCTTATTCAGCCAGTTCTATGGCACTGGCCATAGCAGCAGGCCAGAGTGTGGTATCCATAGCAACACTTCTCATGACCATCTCCTTTGTGTTTATGATGGTGAGTAGAAACTGTGCTTCGCTAAGAATAAATTATTTCCCCTTATTCTTTCCTGAAAATTTACCTGTTACCTAAAACCAGCTTGGAGGATTCTGTAAATTAGATTCTCTGCTTTAAGGAGGCCATGTATTGAAGGATAGCTTATATTAGAGAATGTACAGCTTTTTCTTGACATTCCCTAGCCTTTTTGGCTACTGTTCTAATATTATTGCTATAAATTTAGTTAGCATTTTGTTGCAAATGAGTTTTTAAAAGATTCTTCTTGGTGACGTATAGTGAAACCTTGATAAACTGGAACTTCAAAAACCAAACTAGACTTTAAACAAAAGACTAAGATGCAGAAGGGCACTATATCATAATAAAGGGGACAATCCAACAAGAAGATCTAACAATTGTAGATATTTATGCCCCCAACATGAAAGTACCCAAAAATATATAACTATTAATGAGACATAAAGGAACCCATTGATAATAATACAATAATAGTAGGGAACTTTAACACCTCACTTACAGCAATGGACAGATCATCCAAGCAGAAAATCAACAAGGAAGCAATGGCTTTGAATGACACACTGGACCAGATAGACTTAACAGATATATTCAGAACATTCCATCTTAGAGCAGCAGAATGCACTTTCTTTTCAAGTGCCCATGGGCCATTCTCCAGAATAGATCACAAATGGGTCAACAAATAAAAAAGATTAAGATCATACCATGGATATTTTCATATCACAACCCTATGAAACTTGAAAGTCAGCTACAAAAAAAAATTTGGAAAGACCACAAATACATGGAAGTTAAATAACATGCTACTAAACAATGAATGGGTCAACCAATAAACCAAAGAACAAGTTAAAAAAAATACATGGAAACAAATGAAAATGAAAACACAATGGTCCAAAACCTTTGGGATGAAGCAAAAGTAATTCTAAGAGGAAAGTATATTACCTCAAGAAGCAAGAAAAATCTCAAATAAACTACCTAACTTTATACTAAAGGAGGTAGAAGAACAACAAATGAAGCCTAAAGCCAGCAGAAGGAGAGAAATAATAAAGATTAGAGCAGAAATAAATGATACAGAAGAAAGAAAGAAAGAAAGAAAGAAAGAAAGAAAGAAAGAAAGAAAGAAAGAAAGAACCATATAGCAGATAAATGAAACCAGGGGCTGAATCTTTCAAAGAATAAAATTGATAAACATCTAGCCAGACTTATCAAAAAGAAAAGAGAAAGGGCCCAAATAAATAAAATTTAAAAAGAGTGGAGAGGTCACAACCAACAGCACAGAAATAACAATTATAAGAGAACATTATGAAAAACTATATACTAACAAATTGGACAACCTGGAAGAAATGGATAAATTTCTAGAAACATATACACTACCAAAACTTAAAAAGGAAGAAATAGAAGACTTGAACAGATCAATAACCAGCAAAGAAATTAAATCAGTTATAAAAAGTCTCCCAACAAACAAAAGTCCAGGGCCAGATAGTTTCCTAGGAGAAATCTACCAAACACTTAAAGAAGAGTTAATATCTATTCTTATTAAACTATTCTAAAAAATAGAAAAGGAAAGAAAACTTCTAAGAGTCTCATTCCAAGAGACTAGCATTACCCTGATTCCAAAACCAGACAAAGACTCCACTAAAAAAGACAACTATAGGCCAATATCCCTGATGAACATGGATGCAAAAATTCTCAATAAAATACTAGCAAACTGAATCCAACAGTGCATTAAAAGAATCATTCACCACAATCAAGTGGGATTTATTCCTAGGTTGCAAGGGTGGTTCAGTATTTGCAAATCAATCAACATGATGCACCACATTAATAAAAGAATGGATAAGAACCATATCCTTTCAATTGATGCAGAAAAAGCATTTGACAAAGTATTACATCCATTCATGATAAAAATTCTCAACAAAGTAGGGTTGGAGAGAATATACTTCAACATAATAAAGGCCACATAAACCCCACATCCTCAATGGGGGAAACAGAGGTTTTCCTCTAAGGTCAGAAATTAGACAGGGATGTCCACTCTCACCACTTTTTTTTCAACATAGTACTGGAAGTCCCAGCCACAGCAATCAGACAACAAAAAGAAATAAAAGTCATCCAAATTGATAAGGAAGAAGTAAAAGTGTCACTATTTGCAGATGACATGATACTCTATATAGGAAGTTTGAAAGACTCCAAAAAATTTTACTAGAACTGATACATGAATTCAGTAAAGTCACAGGATACAAAATCATCATACAGAAATCTGTTGCATTTCTATACACCAATAATGAAGCAGCAGAAAGAGAAATCAAGCAACCAATCCCATTTAAAATTGCACCAAAAACCATGAGATATGTAGGAATAAACTTAACCAAAAAGGTAAAAACATCTGTACTCTGAAAACTATAGAACGCTGATGAAAGAAATTGAAGAGGACACAAAGAAATGGAAAAACATCCCATGCTCATCAATTTGAAGAATACATATTGTTAAACTGTCTATACTACCCAAAGCAATCTACACATTTAATGCAATCCCCATCAAAATGCCACCAACATTTTTCACAGAGCTAAAACTAACAATCTTAAAATTTGTGTGGGACCACAAAAGACCCCGAATAGCCAAAGCAATCTTGAAAAAGCAAAGCAAAGCTGGAGGCATCACAATTCTGGACTTCAAGTTATAATACAAAACGGTAGTGATCAAGACAGCATAGTACTGGCACAAAAACAGACACAAAGGTTAATGGAACAGAATAGAAAATCCAGAAATGAACCCACAAGTATATGGCCAATTAATCTTTGGCAAAGCAGGAAAGAATATCCAATGGAAAAAAGACCGTCTCTTCAACAAATGGTGCTGGGAAAACTGGACAGCTGCATGCAAAAGAATGAAACTGGACCTTTTTCGTACACCATACACAAAAACAAATTCAAAATGAATTTTCCTTTTCATCTTGTGAAGAATGTCTAAATGGCTGTCAGAATGGCTAAAATTAACAACGAAAGAAACAACAGTTATTGGTAGGGATGTGGAGAAAGGGGACCCCTCTTAGATTGTTGGTGGGAATGCAAACTGGTGCAGCCACTTGGAAAACAGTATGGAGGTTCTCAGAAAGTTAAGAATGGAACTACTCTATGATCCAATAATTGTACTCCTAGGTATTTACCCAAAGGATATAAAAATACAGATTTGAAGGGATACATGCACCTCTGTGTTTATAGCCACATTATCAACAATAGCCAAATTATGGAAAGATCCCAAATGTCTATCAACTGATGAATGGATAAAGAGGAGGTGGTATATATACACAATGGAATATTACTCAGTCATAAAAAAGAATAAAATCTTGCCATTTTTAATGACATGGATGGAGCTAGAGAGCGTTAAGTGAAAGAAGTTAGAGAAAGACAAATTCCATATGATTTCACTTATATGTGGAATTTAAGAAACAGAATGAACAAGGAAAGGGAAACGAAAGAGAGAGAGGCAATCAGAGAAACAGACTCTTAACCATAGAAAATGTGATGGTTACCAGAGGGGAGGTGGGTGGGCAGATGGGTTAAATAGGTGATGGCAATTATGGAGTGTACTTGTGATGAGGACCAGGTATATGCAAGTGTTGCATCACTAAATTGCATACCTGAAACTAATATTACAGTGTATGTTAGTTAATTAGTTACTGTGTCTCTGCCTTTCTGGGTTCTTGACATTCCCTTATATGAATATATTTCTACTTACCTTTTTTTTTTTTTTAAGTAGTTACTGAATCCTAATCTTACATGTCCCTTAATTTTACATGCACATAGATGAATCAATACATGAATCAACTAGTTACCACATTGCCCCCTACGACATGAAGTAAACAGGAATGCTTAGTCTATTAATATACATGTTCTTTCTGCTAGAATAGGAATAGATGTCTTTAAAAGGAAAATAATCATGGGGTGCCTGGGTGGCTTGGTCGGTTAAGCGTCCGACTTCGGCTCAGGTCATGATCTCGCGGTCCGTGAGTTCGAGCCCCGCGTCGGGCTCTGTGCTGACAGCTCAGAGCCTGGAGCCTGTTTCAGATTCTGTGTCTCCCTCTCTCTCTGCTCCTCCCCTGTTCATGCTCTGTCTGTCTCTCTCTCAAAAATAAAATAAAAATGTTAAAAAAATTAAAAAAAAAAAGGAAAATAATCAGCACAAACTTTGGCAAACTTTGTGAGTTTGAAATCTAAACATTATTGAGAAATTGATAAACCTTGCATATATTTTCTATATTATCCAATAAATAACATGTCATCAATATATAAAAATGTCTTGTGTTTTATATTAGATGCTTCGTCTTATTATTTAAATGTTTGTATATAGAACTTTTAAAACCAGTCATAAAACCATGTTGCTTAGAGACGCAGTGTGTGGTATATTAAGCACCTGGTTAGGTGGAGTTCAAAAATATGTAGTCCCTCAGTGACATCAGGTTAATGTCTATCCCAGCATTCCTAGGGCCAGTTAGAAATTTTATATGAACCTCTTCTCATGTAGCCATCTGTTGCTGGAGTAATCCTTCCTGGGATCTTCATTGTCATACTGTTTTACGGTAGCTTTAAATTTTTTTTTTTAATGTTTGTTTATTTTTGAGAGAGAGACAGAGCAGGGGTGGGGCAGAGAGGGAGGGAGACACAGAATCTAGAGCAGGCTGTCAGCATAGAGCCCAATGCAGGGCTTGAACTCATGAACCATGAGATCATGAGCTGAGCTGAAATTGGATGCTTAACTGAGCCACCCCGTCACCTGGTTTTTGGTAGCTTTAAATGAAGGTATTCACCATATTTTATGCCTCACTTCACCACATTGTGCTATATACCAGTTCCAGGCTGTAGGTTAAGTATGCATCCTGACCCCCAAACTATTTCTATAGTCATGCAGAGATAGAATGCAAACGTTTTTAAATGACAAATCATACTGTGTTTTGGAAATAGAGGAATGAGATGTTCAGGATATGATCTGGTGTATGTATTGGTGGGAACATACAGTGTCTGTATCGTGAGAACAGTCAGTACTTCTTGACCTTTCATTGTGTGCAGTTACAGAAAGAAAGTAAAAGCCTTGAAATTTAAGGGTCTTCCAATTAAATGGCACATATATTATATATTGTCATTCCCTGAGAACCATAAACAGCCTCAGTGATAGAGGGGCATACTCATGCAAAGAGGAATGGAAGGAATGTCCAGAGTTGGTCTTAACAGAAATGTTTATAAAGGTTGTAGGGCACTTAAAGGAGGTATTCTCTGTAATTCTTCATGAAATCCCCTCACCAGGTCTGATTCTTGGTACTTTCTTTTTGTAGATATTTTCAGGGCTGTTGGTAAATCTCACAACCATCCAGCCTTGGCTATCATGGCTTCAGTACTTCAGCATTCCTCGATATGGCTTTGCGGTGAGTTTTCCTCATCTGTCTCTGTGATCCTAGCACAGGATTAATTCTAGGATTAGAATTCCCAAGCTAGGGACAACCAGAATAAAGCCTAACAACCTTGTCTCCCGCTGTGAACTGTGAAGGTCTCCAGGGGTTTCTTTTTTAGGAGCAATGAAGGAGAGTTTTCTATTAAGCCTTAGATCACCTTGATAATCACCTGAGGTTTCCCCAGTTACCCAGTTGTCTGAAGGAGGTGAAGGGTGGGGAGATAACTCCTCATGAGGGAGAAAGATTGACTAATTGGTATAAAGAAATATAGTTGTGTTTCAGTTCACTATGAAAATAGAGGATGGGGGGCCTAGAATACGTATTTTATATTGAATTCAGAAAAAAACAAACAAACAAAAAAACCCCCAAAACAAAGAGCATATAATACAGCCACTATCTTGGTTTTAGAAAGCTAATCAACTCCAAAGAAAACTGTCTTAATATAGTATAATTGGGTTTCTAACTCCCAAGAATTAGCACTGGTTTTGATGAAAATAAACAAGAATAATACAAAAGATTCTCACCATAAATGAACGATAGTCACTGAGTACTGCTGTATGATTTTGAGTACACTGTGGGATTATAAAATTGGGGAGAGAAGAAGGAAGGAGCCAGAGGTCTCCCCTCTTTGCCAACTACTTTACTTCCCTTTGTTTTGGAAGCTAAAATCTCAACCTTAGACTACTCAGTTGCCAAGGAAAAGAATTTTAGTTGCTCTGGTGTGGCAGAGACTGTGAACGTGAAGCTTGGTTTGTTTGTAGAAATAGCAATAAAGATTAAACTAGGAGGACATGATAATTCTTTGAAGTTTTTTGAAATTTAAAACTGTTTACCTTGCCCCATTCCCCTTGTGTTATAGGCTTTGCAGCATAATGAATTTTTGGGACAAAACTTCTGCCCAGGACTCAACATAACAACAAATAATACCTGTAGTTATGCGACGTAAGTTCATATTCAGTGTCGTAGTGGATTTGTTTACTATTGTGGTGTATGTAGAAAGCCCACTGGGCCGCTTGGCTGGTGTAAGTCCTTTCACTGACTTCTCTGGGTTGTACACCAGTGCCCATCTCCTTGGCATTTGCTTCAGTGAAAATTGTACTTCAGATGGAGAAATGTTTCTGATACGTTCATTGGGGGCCTTTAAAAAAGATTCATTGGCTGTTTTGATTGTGAGTTTTAGTTTTGACTTTCTGAACACTTGAGTTTGAAATGAGCTGCTTTGATATTTTACCAAAGCCTTGGAATATTGGAGTTGTATGGAGTGTGTGAAGTGTACGGATCCATAAATTTATGGCTTCCTGTAAGCCCAACCCAAGGCCAGGAGCAAGAGCTAAGAGGGCAGCAGAGGGGAGGATCATTGTCCTGCCGTGCTGTTGGCACTTGCCTCTTCCTCCTGCATTTACTAGGAGACATTATGAAATCCAGGTCTACATGACTATCTTTTTTTCTTTTGAACCGACCCAGAACATCCTTTTTGAGGGATGTAGCCTCCAAAGGAGGAAACACCTTTCAGTAAGCTGAGAAAGAAGTCCCATTTTTTTGCATAATGTCAAACAGAAATGCAGATTTTGACAAAATCAGAGGATGTTGTTTTAAAAATTGAATAACCCTTTTCTTGTCGATGATTGTTGTTAATGGTTTGATTTTGCTACATCGATCAATGAAAGAAAAGAGAATGCTGGTATCCAGAATCTCATGAACTATTCTCAAGTAGAATAGAAATAATTCTTAGTAATAGGGCAAATTGTTATTTTGAAGTATTTCTGAAAAACTTGTATGAAGAGAAGTTTTCTGCCCACTCTCTTTTGTCTGGGTATAACATTTTTGGAGGAGCTGCACACACATGGCGTACCAGGTAGTCAGTATGGCTGCACCAGGTAGTTTTAGGACCAGGCGCTTTTCTAAACTGTGGCAGGGCCGCTCCATCCTGCTCTAGCTCAGCCCCCACCGAGGCTTACACCTGATTAGGTGGGCCTGCTGGTGATGTCCTGCTGCTGAGTATCTGCAGTGCTCATTCCAGCCCTGCTGCGAGAGCAGTGGGGGCAGGAAGCCCTCGCTCACCTCTTTTCCTAGCTTTAGAATTCTTAGCGTGTGTTTCTTTGTACATCTGGCTGGTGGGTAGTGAGCTCTGTAAAGAGCTTTGATCAACTTGGTAGGGGCCTTAGATGTCATCTGTTAAAACTGAGGTTTTCCCTGTCAGGAGTGAGAGCAGCATCAGAAATCTGAAAACAAATGAATTTGGAGAGATTAGCGACTGGGTTCAAAGTGTGAATCGGTGGACTTGGCCAAGTTCCTTAAACCTTAGTCTCTTCATCTTTTTAAATGGGTATAATATTTACTTCACTGGGTTGTTTCAGGGATTAACTAAACTGTTACATATGGACTGCTTAGCATAGTATCCAGCAGAATTGTAAGCCCTCATTGTTACCCATTATATGTAAAGGCATAGTTCTTTAAGACTTGGAACCTATGGGAACTGTGAATACATTGAGAGTAAAACTTGACAGATAACTAAGGATAAAGTTATATTCTTTTTCTGTTGAATTTCAGATGTACTGGCGAAGAATTTTTGGTAAACCAGGGCATCGATATCTCCCCTTGGGGCCTGTGGAAGAATCACGTAGCCTTGGCATGCATGATTGTTATCTTCCTTATAATTGCCTACCTAAAATTGTTATTTCTTAAAAAATTTTCTTAGGGGCGCCTGGGTGGCGCAGTCAGTTAAGCGTCCGACTTCAGCCAGGTCACGATCTCGCGGTCCGTGAGTTCGAGCCCCGCGTCAGGCTCTGGGCTGATGGCTCAGAACCTGGAGCCTGTTTCCGATTCTGTGTCTCCCTCTCTCTCTGCCCCTCCCCCGTTCATGCTCTGTCTCTCTCTGTCCCAAAAATAAATAAACGTTGAAAAAAAAAATTAAAAAAATTTTTTTTCTTAAATTCTTCTTGAATTTACATGATTTATGTGCACATTAAATAGGGAGTGTCTTGATTTATTTTAAGCATTCAATGAAGTGTTTTTGTCGTCTCTTCATTTGGCATCATACTGTTCAGCAAGAATTATTTTTCCAGAAACCACAGCGAACTGATTTATACATGAAAGAACTCAAGTCATAAACTAGTGATATTATGGACTGTGTATTAGTTCATCTGGTCATACAGTAACCATGGGGAAGACATCTAGTTTATCAACCTAAAACAGAATTGAATACTGGGAACTTGTGACAAGTTATTAATATTTCTGGTATTAGTTTCCTCATCTTTAAAATGAATAGAGGGTTCATTGCCCTCCAGCTCCAGTATTAGATGAATCTGTGATTTGCCATTATTTAATAAATCATAATAACAAATGTACAGATGCAGTGGTGGAAGTACGAAATCTAATCTATGTTGGAAAAACCCAGTGTTATTTACAAGGCAAAAAAACCCCCACTGTGATAGAAAAAGCTTTGATGAGCCTTTTAAGATTATTAGAACATATTGAGATTTCTCTAGTGGAATCAGAGCACCTCAGGGGTCTCTGCTGGCCTTTGTAGGTGTGGCGGACTGGGAGTTGTGACCCTTGCTGGGGCAGTTCAGTGGCCTGTGATCAGCGCAAGGATCAGAGCCTCCTGGGGCACTTTGCTCAAATACAGATGGCCAGGCCCTGTGAGCCATGCATCAGCATCTCCAGGGTTACTCCAGAAAGCCCCGCCCATGCCAGGACCTGGTCATTTCCAAGATCCTCTCTGCCTCTGAAAACTTAGTTATGATACACTACCTGTCATAACTGCCCCCGTATAGACTTTTTCATTCCTACATATACATCTCTTATTCGTGGATCTTCTCTTTGTTCTAACCCTTATCAGTAATAGGGAACTATTTCTTAACTTCTTTTTTTTATATATAATTTTTTTTAATGTTTATTTATTTTTGAGACAGAGCACGGGAGCAGGAGAGGGGCAGAGAGAGAGGGAGACACAGAATCTGAAGCAGGCTTCAGGCTCTGAGCTGTCAGCACAGAGTACGACATGGGGCTCAAACTCATGAGCTGTGAGATCATGACTTGAGCTGAAGTCGGACGCTTAACCTAGTGAGCCACCCAGGCGCCCCTTAACTTCTTTTTTATTGAGGGGTTATGTGGGGAAAAGTATAATCCAGTGAAGTTTCAAAAAAGGAACATGCTGGTGGAACTACCAATCTAGGCAAAGAAACAGGATGTTAGCAGCACATGGATGCCCCCTGCGTGCCCCCTCCTGATCACTACTTCCTTCTCTCTGTGCTATTTCTGAAATGATGCTTGTATACTCCTCTTTGTTGCTGTTCTCATGTTTTGTGTTCCTGTGTGCATAGGTCCAGCCTTACTTAAGTCCTTTCCTCCCCCTTTTAATGAAGTATTAATTTTGGAATAATTTTAGATTTAACAGAAGAGTTGCAAAGATAGTATGGAAAAATTCCCAGATACACTTTACCCAACTTTCCTTACTAACATTTTATATATCATGGTACATGTCAGAAGAAGTTAACATTGGTACATTATTATTAAACTACACACTTTATTCAGATTACACTAACATGCTTAGTCATTCCAGGATCCACTTCAGGGGATCGGATTGCAATGAATCCTCCTTTTTATGAAAGTAAACATTTTTCAGAATTAAGTGAGGTTGAGGATCACCAGTGTGGACCCTTTGCAACTGGTCATCTTGGAGTATCACTGTCATTGGGTGCCCTGCCATATTGTCACAATATCAGTCCAGGGAGGCACATAACATTATATATATATATATATATATATATATATATATATATATATATTTCATAACATTGTATTTTTCAGAAACTTTTTTTTTTAATTTTTTTTTCAACATTTATTTTTGGGACAGAGAGAGACAGAGCATGAACGGGGGAGGGGCAGAGAGAGAGGGAGACACAGAATCGGAAACAGGCTCCAGGCTCTGAGCCATCAGCCCAGAGCCTGACGCGGGGCTCGAACTCACGGACCGTGAGATCGTGACCTGGCTGAAGTTGGACGCTTAACCGACTGCACCACCCAGGCGCCCCATCAGAAACTTTTTTAAATGATGTTTCATTAATGCACTGTCTTGTAACATGTTGTCACACACTCTTTTTACCCTATTATGTGACCATTAGGGTTAATCAGTTTTTCCTGTTCTTGGTGTATAACTCTGGCTTCCTCATAGTTCTCTGTATACACTCTTCTCCCATTATACAGAGAGTAATATCTGTGCTTCACACACAAAATACACTTAACAGAAGAAACAAAACAGCCCAATATATTAACACTCACTTTTAAAATAAGAAAGAGGGTAGGGGCGCCTGGGTGGCTCAGTCGGTTGGGCGGCCGACTTCGGCTCAGGTCACGATCTCACACTCCATGAGTTCGAGCCCCGCGTCGGGCTCTGTGCTGACCGCTCAGAGCCTGGAGCCTGTTTCAGATTCCGTGTCTCCCTCTCTCTCTGACCCTCCCCCGTTCATGCTCTGTCTCTTTCTGTCTCAAAAATAAATAAGCGTTAAAAAAAAATTTTTTTTTAAATAAGAAAGAGGGTCATGGTTCAGTGTCTGACATCAGCTCAGGTCATGATCTCGTGGTTATTGAGTTCGAGCCCCACATCCAGCTTGCTGCTGTCAGCCTGTCAGAGCAGAGCCCACATTGGATCTTCTGTCCGCCTCTGTCTGCCCCTCCCCCACTGGTATTCTGTCAAAAATAAACAAACATTTAAAAAATGAAATAAAAAAGAATTTAAATGTATCCTCTTATACCTATCATCCTTTTGTAGTGCAATTTTCTTATATCCTTTTTATATAATTCTGTTTTTAATTATTATGGTAAACCTATAACATAAAATTTGCCATCTTAACGGTTTTTAAATTAAGGACCATTTTTAAAAGTAACATAAAAGCGTATATCCTATAAAGTATAAAAGAACATACTAATTTATAGAAATTTAGAAATCAGACTATGTCTATATCCTTTTGAATTTTGTTTTTATTTTCTTGGATGTCAGAAGAACTAATCTGTAATGGGAGAAGATATATTAATTTGGTTTAAAATAAAAGGAACCTGGGGCACCTGGGTAGCTCCGTTGATGGGGCATCTGACTTTGTCTCAGGTCATGATCTCGTGGTTCTTTGGTTCAAGCCCAAAGTTGGGCTCTGTGCTGACAGCTTGGAGCCTGGAGCCTGCTTCAGATTCTGTGTCTCTTCTCTCTCTTCCCCTCCCCTGTTCACAGTCTGTCTCTCTCTGTCTCTCAAAAAATAAAATGTTAAAAATTTTAAAAAAAGAAAGGAAAAGAAATCTCAGGAATAAATGAAAAGTGTTAGCTACTGTTTATACTCTTTCCATTGCTGTCGTGGGGCTTTTACAAAAGAGTGCAGGAAGACTCATTGTGCAAGGCTCCATGGTGTGTTAGGTGAGGCAGCAACAAAGGAAAGGAAAATGGGTGGCTTGAAAAGAGTTGTTGAAGGGGCAGTGGACATACTCCTCTGTTTCTTCGTCTTGAAAGCCATTCTTCATGGTTTTTAGATTTGAATTATATTAACCTCAATACCTCAATGTTTACATATATTTGAAAAGCAGCATTACTCATATTTATATGAAATCTTTAGGCCTCCCCAGTGCCTGCTCAGTGTGCCCCAGATCAGACTAGCAGAGCTGGGACAGATGCCATTCCTGGGTCCAAAAGCTTGGGCTCTCGCCAATGCTGATGTCCTGATGGCCACTCCTGATGCCTCAGCTGCTGGTAATTTTACTAAGATACTTTTCAAGATATTCTATTGAAACCTTGTTTCTGTATTACAGAACAAATATGTTGCCTCCTAATAATTTACTCTTCCATAAGAGATTTGGCTACCAGTGAGATGAGGGAGGCCTCACTGGGTTTGTGGGAAACTCTGTTTTGCATGTTTAGGAATTGGGACTTTTTTTTTCAGTGTATGCAAGGGGCATTATGCTCTGAGGAATTAATTCACATGAGCCATCCTCAGAAGGGGATTGGTAAACCAGAGCACCAGTTTACTGATTTAAACAGTAAAATGTTACATAGTCATTTACCTGTGACATTCTTCTCTCAGGTGTGAAACTGAAATCAGAGGATTCTTTGGGCTTAGGATTTAAGGCTAATTTAGACAATGTCCACTACATCCATAGGAATTTGTGTGTCAAGCAAACCTGAATCATTGCAAGAGCTCATCCTCACCAAGTCCATGCAGGAGGTAATCCGTAACTGCCTCACCGTCCGAGGTTTGTGCTTATTCTCAGTGGAATAAAGATCCCAAAGAAAACCTGGAACCCCACCAAACATAGCTACTGTCTTGCTATACCTGCTGGCCTTCTGTCTCTTGTTATACACATTTAAAAAAATGGTTGACTCACATGTTGCAGCCTACTTTCTGTCCCCATTGAACAATATGACTATAAGATACCTCTATTCTAAATTGGAGTAACTCTTTGACTGTGAGAGTCCACATTTCTTTGTGGTTACCCAGGGTTTCCCAAGCTTGCCTGGTAAGAATCAATGGTCATCCGGATGCTTATGGAAGGAAGGAAAGAAATAAAAAGGTATTTTTTCCCCATCTGTTGAGAAATCTCTGAGGAGTGAGCATAGGAATTCCAGGTGATTCTTTGGGATTATACTGATTTAGGATTGTAATAACCAGTTAAGGTCATTTAACCCTACATTCATTATAATTTGATCTTGATCTAATCGGTGTGGCAATTGCCTTTAAAGGCATATATTTTGTATCCACCTAAATACTGGACTCACATCTAGAACTAAGTGAGCTCATTAACATCACCTGATCTTCAAACTTTTTTTAAGCTGAGGAATCATTCTTGCACCTGGAAAATCCCCCAAGAACAGCACCTATGGGACTCTCATAAGTGACAGCTGGTGATGATTTGGCCGCCTCTCTACAGTTACTCATGTGTCACCCAGGTTTGTGACCTTGATGGACTTATTTAGCTTAATGTGTATCTTTCTCTTTTTATTTTTTTTTAATGTTTTCATTTTTGAGAGACAGAGTGTGAGCAGGAGAGGGACAGACACACACACACACACACACACACAGAATCTGAAGCAGGCTGTAGCCTCTGGGCTCTGAGCTGTCAGCATGGAGCCTGACGTGGAGCTTGAACCCACAAACTGTGAGATCATGACCTGAGCTGAAATCGGTGCTAAACTGACTGAGCCACCCAGGTGCCCCAGTCTGTATCTTTCCTATCCATAAAATAGGGATTCTAATAGTTTCTATCTCTCTAGAGGTATGAAGATCAAATAAGGTAATGCATGTAAAGTGCCTAGAAGTACTTGGCTCATAGGATGTCCTCAATACATTTTTGCTATTAGTGCTACATCCCATAGGACATCACACTGGTTATTAGCGTCATGCTAGTGCCAGTTCATGGATGACACCCTGCACAGGGACAAGAGCACCATTCTCCAGGACATGTTCTATGCACTAAACCAGGAGTTGGCAAACTATGGCCTGCAGGCCAAATCCCGCCCACTGCCTGTTTTTGTAAATAAAACTTCATTGAAACACAGTCACGCTCATTTGTATTAGTATTGTCCATGGCTGCTTTTGCACTATGATGGCACAGGAGTTATGACAGAGACTATTGTGGCCCATAATGCCTAAAATATTTACTATCTGGCTCTTTATGGAAAGTTTGCTGGTCCCTGTATTAGACCAAGAGTTCCTGTTCCCAGCATTTATAGTATAGTCACACTATACGGGTCTACATACTAGTGATATTGGCCTCTCTCAGTATCATTTCCTTCAGCCCATTTGCAGGATTTGTGCTTCCCTGTCTGCAGCTGGAGGCTCTGCTCTTTTGGAGCTCCTAAATCCTCATGAAGCGAGCACACTTTCACCTGGGAATACAGTGAGGGTTCCACTGAACCTCAAACTGTCTGCCACTTAGACACTTTGAGATTTGTACACTGGTCATCAGTAGGCAAAGAAAGCAGGTATCACATTGGTCAACTCTGTTAGGAGAAGCTAGACTTTACTGCTGTATAATGGGGCAGAGAATTCACAGAGGTAACCTGGTATGCTAAACAGGCAATAACAGCCTGGTAAAGGACAAGGACTTTGAGCCCTCAGCAATGAGGGTGTGGATCACTGCACCAAACAAGCAATGCTGTAGAGCTGAAGTGTTGGCCAAGAATGAGGAACTCTAGGAAGGGTGGTAGAGGAGATAAGGAGTAACTATGGCCTTGTGAGCAACAATGGGGACGAGTCAGTTCCACTAACCCTCCTGTAGTATGTTTTCTAGAGATCATAGCTGGGCTCCCTCAAAAAGTCCAGAGTGGACTTTACGTGAACACAAGTGGATCTGAGTGGTGCAAGGGGTGGATGAAGGAGATGTTTTTGGTGCTCTGTGGCATACCTCCTTGGCACCTCTGATTTCAGCTGCAGCTGTAGTGGACAGCTCAAGTGAGCTCAGATCACGTCGATAGCATCCCACCTCAAACCTGCACTACAAATCTCTTCACTTTCCTGCTGTGAGGCCTCCAAAGCTGAAAGAAACTCTTCAGCCCCAGTGCAAGTGTAGCCTAAAAGTGTGGGGTGTTCACCCCTCCACCAGTAGGGATCAGGACAAAGCCCCAGCCCAGTGTTCTTCAGACGGGGAATTATGAGAGGCATTCTGTAGGGTTCCCAGAGGCGGAACTGAGCTTCTGCTGCCTACCTCATTAACATACCAGTACGCTTGCATCTCCTCCTTTCCTGGCTCATTCTGTTTCCTGCTCCTGTTTCCTAGTATCACCTCCCAAATAAACTACGTGGACTCAAGTCCTTGTCTTGACTTTTATTTTAGGACACTAAAACACATTCCCATTAATACCAGAAACAAAACAAGCATGTGTAGTCTTACTGCTATTCTCCAACATAATACTGTCCTTACAAATGAGCTAGCCTTACCCCCCAGAAAACCCAAAGAATCAATACAGAATCTATTAGAACTAGTGAAGGAGTTCAACACATGTGCTACATGTAAGATTAATTTATAGAACATTAGTAATTTCCCTTTATATCAGCAGTAACCAACTAGAAAATATAATAGAAGATTCTGTTCACAGTACCAATAAAACCATATTATAAATACATAGGATCATTAAGAAATTTTAAGAAACACTTAAAGGACATTAAAGAAGTTCCGAATAAGTGAAGAATTGTTTCTGATAGTGTTAAGATGTCAGCTGTCCCCAAACTAAACAATAAATTCAATGCAATTCGAATTAAATTCCAGTGGGAACTTTTTCTCTGTCCGCCCTCTAATAGGAGCCCACCAAACTTGCTCGAACACTTGCATGGAAAAATAAAGTTTCACAAAAGTAGCTCAGTCAATTTCATAATAAAAAAAAGACCTTACCAAAAAAAAAAAAAAAAAAACTTGTTGTGCAAGAATATCCATAGATCAGTTTGCAAAAGGCTAAAGAGTTTATACATGACCCTGAAATGACATCATGAGCCAGTAAGGTAAAGTGACTTATTTAATAAAAAACTGGCTCATTATTTGGAGAAAAATACCTGTGGGCCTTATACAAATTTACTCTTGGGATGTATTAAATGTGAAAGATAAAACTAAGTTTAATAAATAAAAGTTTTTGATCTTACAAAGGTCTCTTTAAAACCCCAAACACAATAAAGCAAAAAAAAAAATTGATTTTACTATATAAAAATTAAGGAAATATTGACAAAGTTGTCAGTTGAGAGACACTAACAAGCAAATATTAACAAGAGTCCAATACTGATAAGGTATTAATATTTAAACCATGCAAGGAACTTCTGCAAATCAACAAAAAAAGACCATGACCCAGTAGAAAAATAAGCAATGAACAAAAACATACTTGTTTCCCATCAGATCAAAGTGTAAGAGTTTCAAGGTTTGAATTGGCAGCTTAGCAAAAGGGAAATCCAAATGTTGAACATTTATATGAGGGGATGTTCTTTAGGAATTAGGAATCAGAGAAATAAAAAATAAAATGAGACCTCACTTTAAAACCATGCCATTAACAAAAAGCAGGAAGCTGGATGGGACCGATGCTGGTGAGGGGATGTATAAAACTGGGAATCTCATGCATGTAGTGGAATCATGGACGGATGCAGTCATTCCAGAGGGCAACCTGAGAGTTCCGAATAAAATTAAATATTTATAGGCCTGGCACTCAGCAGTCTGACTCCTGTTATATACCCATGGGGGAACTCATGAAAAGTCAACGAGGGAATTAACATTGACGTTCAAAGATTTTGAAATAACAGAAATATTAAAACCAACTATTCACTACAGAAATGCATAAGTAAAATGTGGTTGCACATTAGGGAATACTATACGGTCATCAGAATAACTTAATGAAGGTACATACTGCTGAAGAAGTAATGTGTCAATCATTTTTTGGACATAAAAGAGAAGATGCCTGTTTCAAAGTCTAAACGTTTGGTAATTAGTCTCATGATACAAGGCAAATTACCCAGCTGCTTCTACTTAGGAAACAGACAACTATTACATCTGTTATTATACCAAGTCTTTATTAAGAAGTAAAGTGCTCAATATTACACATTAATGAAATTCTCAATTGTTGAGAGACTTGCAGATGTAACATCTTCTTAAAATCACAGATATAGAGGGGAAGATGATAGGAGAGGGAAAAGGAGGGAATTCTCCATGACTAAAGAGAAAAAAAGTATGTAACTTATGGGTAAAAAGAAAGAATTTTGTAAAATCGTACAGGTGAAATGAGAAACAAGATGATAATAAGTACATAAAAAGATTTTCTAGTGACCATAATTAATATATGGCACGTGGTCAATACACATGGATACCACATAATGGCTGCACTTCAAATTGAAGTTTGTTTACATGTAACAACATGGTACACACACATAAATACGTACACTCAATATCCCTGGAATGCAAACTTCAGTACCTAGTAATAAAGAACTTCATGTAGCATATTCAAAAGAAAGTAAAGATGGAAATAAAGCATGAGAAATAACTATTAAAGAAACCCGATGTGTATCACTTCTATAGAAGCCAGCTTAGGCAGGTTTGTTTGCTCAGGTTTTCACTGAAGATTTGACTGACCTATTCTATCAATCACGTAAACGACTTAAAGCCAGGCATTCAAACACAGACCTCCCTTCTGTTGTTCTCCAAGTCAGAGTTAATTCACCAGCAACGCATTCTCTCTTGCTTGTCCCATTAGCTCTCTCAAAAGGTCACCTCATTCAACACTTTTGAAAAATAAGATTTTTTTATTTTTCATTGAGAAATAATCTCTTCTCTATAAATTTGGTGGGACCCTCTCCTAATGAAAACACAAACAAACAAACCAAAAACTGCTGCAAACTCAAACTGTGGCTGATATGTTCTGATCATGAATGAATTTTCAATACCAGAAATTCCTTCTCATTAAAATTGAGCTCCATTTAGATTATACATTCTAGTTTTGAACCGCTGAATCAGACTATTTGAGTTCCATATTCTTAAAACAGCATAAAACTCAAACTTCAGTTTTATAATGTTTGCATATGAATTTCTAAACTCCTGTAAATTTTTGTTTCAAACGAACATATCTGCTGAGTTAAAACCCTCAGTACATAATGAAAACATTTAGGAAGTCGGCTTTCCCAGATTAGTTACAACGTTCCTTTCAGTTGCAAGTAAGTTGAGCCATGCGGGAAGAGAATATATGGACGAATCTTTATACTAAACTAATTATAAGAAAAAGTCAAACTGATGGGGCACCTGGGTGGCTCAGTCAGTTAAGCGTCTGACTTCGGCTCAGGTCATGATCTCAGGGTTTGTGGGTTCAAGACCCATGTCAGGCTCTGTGCTAACAACAGCTCAGAGCCTGGAACTTGCTCCTGTGCTAATAGCTCGGAGCCTAGAACTTGCTTCAGATTCTGTCTCTCTCTCTCTCTCTCTCTCTCTCTGCCCCTCCCCCGCTCATTGTCTGTCTCTCTCTCTCAAAAATAAACATAAAAAGAAAGAAAGAAAGAAAGAAAGAAAGAAAGAAAGAAAGAAAAAGTCAAACTGAGTGACAGGGCTCCTTCTAATTTTCCTATGTCATGGCTAGAGATGACATTTTTTTTTTTAATTTTTTTTCAACGTTTATTCATTTTTGGGACAGAGAGAGACAGAGCATGAACGGGGGAGGGGCAGAGAGAGAGGGAGACACAGAATTGGAAACAGGCTCCAGGCTCTGAGCCATCAGCCCAGAGCCCGACGCGGGGCTCGAACTCACGGACCGCGAGATCATGACCTGGCTGAAGTAGGACGCTTAACTGACTGCGCCATCCAGGCGCCCTAGAGATGACATTTTAACCTACAATCAATCTGGTGGTTTCACACAGCTCATTTTAAATGAGAGTGAAAACAGTATGAATAAATGAAACAGTTATTCCCACGGACATGAACTATATAATACAATGATAAAAAAGCACAGTATTCAACAGGTATCTTCACCATTCATACACATTCTAGCATAATGACTACATACCCATTCCATGGTTCATAGTTCTTTTCCAGCTCATCTTTTGGAAATGTTTGCCCCAGGAAGGTAGTTGAAACAAAGGGTTCCTTTCTTTAAAGCAAGCTATGTTTTACGTCCATAAACCAAGCCCGAGTGGGAAAGAATGCCCCTACTTTCCCTTCACGCACTGGGCAAAAATGACAATACTGATTTTTGTGACTGGAAATAAAACTCAGAAGGCTTTTGACAATTCTCTCCTAGCTTTAAAGGCTACATTGTTGTCCACTGAGAAGACTCATCCATGGTGGCAAGTGGGCAGACCACTCCATGTACTTTACAAAGATTTTTTTTTTCTGTACTCAATATTTACACCTAGGTTTCTTATATGAGAAAAAAAAAATCTTCTTTGATCCATGGGCAAAGTTTATCTAAAATAAATTAAAGTGCAGAAGAATTAACATTTGGTCACAAAGACCAGCATCATATGGTGGTCAGGGCATATAAATAGTGTACTTGCTCTGGCCATTCAGGACAGCCCTTTCTCCCCTATTAGGAACACACACTAACACACATCTTAGACTTGGATATTGGAACTCCCATTTGCACCTGCGCCTTCTATTCCATCTGCAGACTGGGAGGAAGAAGGGCGGGAGCTTCTGGGGCGCGGCTGACCATTCAGTCCCACTGGCGTGCCTAAGCCATGACTTATCTGGGAAGCTGCATCGTCAGACTCCCAGCGTTCCAACTCTTCCCGCACTAGTCGTTCCATCTGCTCCCTGTGGATTTCACTGTCACGACCCAGTCTTTCATCCTAACAAAGGAAAAAGCGATCAGGATGTTGGGGGTTGGGGATGCACACTTTTGTACTTAGAAATTGCCTTAGGAAATCAGGGGGCCAAATAATCTGTCAACATTAAATAACATTAAATAACACTGGCGATGTATAGCATATATAGCAATTCTCTGAGCTACTGGAGTGACTTTTTGACTTAATTCTACCATTCAGTGAAGGCAGAACCATCAGAACGGTATTAAGAAAGTAACACCTCCAGACTATCATCTGATCTGCACTGATCTGCAGTTACAGACATCTCAGAAACCCTCTCAGATGAAACACTACAAAATATGACTACCCTGATATTTCCTAGAATCAGTGTTTCTGTGTCAGATGACCACTTACCTCCGCCACCCCATCCAGAAGCCTTCCCAGAACCTCCCTTCTCTTCAGTTTGGCCCGCTCCATGATCTCCAGCTTCACGATCACAGCATCAATCTTGGACACGATGCTGCCGATGGAATGCTCCATTCGATCCACTCGTCTCACCAGGCTGCAGGAAACCACAGGTGAGAGGGGGAAAGCCACCTCGTGTGGTGGGCTGCCTTTTCAGCCCAGCTGGCTTTTCATTTAAAAAAAATTTTTTTTAAACAATTTTTTTTACATTTATTTATTTTTGAGAGACACAGTGAGACAGTGCATGAGTGGGGGAGGGGCAGAGAGAGGAGACACAGAATCTGAAGCAGAGTCCAGGCTCTGAGCTGCCAGCACAGAGTCCAACACGGGGCTCAAACCCACAAACCGTGAGATCGTGACCTGAGCTGAGTTGGACACTTAACCAACTGAGCCACCCAGGTGCTCTCCAGCTGGCTTTTCAAATGGAAGTGCTAAGATATTTTTCTTAAACAAGACGATAATCAGCAGTCTCAAACTTTAGCTATAAACTCATATATTGCTGATGGGAATGCTAACTGGCACAACTTCTCTGCAAGTCAACATTGTATTAGAAGTCTTATAAATGTATGTTTAGCTTTTATTCAGGTATTCCATTTCTTGAAAATTTTCCGAAGGAAGGAAGTAAGTATATGTGTGATTTTTTGGGCTACCAGCATATTCATTAGAGTTCTGCTTATTAATAGTGGTTCACTGAAAAATGGTTACATTAAATAATTAATAGAAAAATTTTCAAATATGTTATTTTCATCTATACAATGGAATTCTATGGAGATACCAGAAATTGTATGGTGATAGAATATTTAACGGAATAGTGGTATTCACAATATATTAAGTAAATAAAGCAGTTAGAAAACACTGTTCACTAGTGATCCCATTATTTTGAATAAAAAAAATTATGTAAATGCTTTAAAAACATAGAAATAGGAGACAACTTCTGGAATGGTGACAGGAGGGCTTTGTAAGCCCTCTCCCAGTGAAACAACTGCAACTGTTGAAAATTATCAAAAAAAATTTTTTTTTCAAAACTCTGGACATTTTCTTAAGGGTACACAGCAAATGAAGAAGCATTTATTTAAGAAAATCCACTGAATTTCAGAGAGTCTGCTCCCTCTCTTTCTCCCCCAGTTCAGTGTGACAGAAGTGCCACTCCAGTTGGGTTAGGCAATGAACACAGGGCTCCCACTCCCTTCTACTCCCAGTGGGGGGCTCTGGTATCTCACAGGAAGGGGTGGGCTGCACAGTTCTCATCCCTGTGCCTCCATCCCCGAATCCATATTGCAGAGGATCTAATCCAGACAAGAGTGGCAGCGAGCTATGAGGCTCTCTTCCTCCACTCATCTGTCAACTATAGGGTGGAGTTTCCACGCCCGGAGAGGCAAGCTGAGAAGACCGAAGGCTGCCATCCCAGCCCAGTGCTTGATTCATGAAACAGGGGTATCACTCTGGGAAGTAGACCACTGTTCCTGCTCCTCTCTCTGAAGCAGTAGCACAGGGGTTTTGCCCAGGGGATAGTCAGGCCACAGAACAGAGAGCTCCAAAGCTTCCCCCCAAGAGAACTGGCTTTATTTGGAACAAAGTGCTAAGCCTAAGAGTGCTTTTGAAAACAATGGAGATTATGGTGATAAACAGTTAAGATGAGGCTGGTCTGCTCTGGAAAATATCAACAAAGAGATACAGATTATTTTAAGGAACCAAATATAAATTCTGGAGTTGAAAAGTACAATAAATGAGATGAAAAAGTCACTTAAGGGTCTCCACAGTAGATCTGAGCTGGCAGTAGAAAGAATCAGCACACTTGAAGATAGATGGATAGAAACTATGTAATCTGAAGGGCCGAAGAGGCAAAAAGTGAAGAAAAATGTAGGATACCTGTAAGCACCCCAACAAACACAGGGTAGGAATCCCAGAAGGAAAGGAGAGAAAACAGCAAAAAACTATTTTAAGACATAATGGTTGAAAACTTCCTAAATGTGATGAAAATATTACACATTGTAGCAGCTTAATGAACGCCAAATAGGAGAACTGCAAAGAGATCCACACTCGGATCAGTCAAAATACTGAAAGACAAAGACAAAGAAAAAATCTTGAAAGTATCAGAGAAAAGTGACTCATTATGTATAACACTGAGGTAAGATTGCTAAGGTTAGATTGCTGAGGTTAAGACTGCTAAGATCTTACTGCTAATCTTAGCAGTAAGATTAACAGCTATCTTCTCATCAGAAACAATGGAGACCAGAACAAAATGAAGGGGAAATAAAAATATTCCCAGATTAAAAAAAAAACTGAGGGAATTCATGCTAGCAGGCCTGCTTTAGAATAGATACTAAAGGAAGTTCTTTAGGCTGACATTAAGTGATCCAGATAGTAATCAGAAGCCACATGAAAAAACGAAGAGCACTGGCTACAGGTAATTATGTGACTATAAAAGGCAGTATAAATTCATATTTCTTTTCCTTTTTTCCCTCTTAACTGATTTAAAAAGCAATTGTGTGGGGCGCCTGGGTGGCGCAGTCGGTTGAGCGTCCGACTTCAGCCAGGTCACGATCTCGCGGTCCGTGAGTTCGAGCCCCGCGTCAGGCTCTGAGCTGACGGCTCAGAGCCTGGAGCCTGTTTCCGATTCTGTGTCTCCCTCTCTCTCTGCCCCTCCCCCGTTCATGCTCTGTCTCTCTCTGTCCCAAAAATAAATAAATGTTGAAAAAAAAAAATTTTAAAAAGCAATTGTGTAAGACAATATGTACACAATTGTATTGTTGGGCCCATAACATACAGAAATATAATAATATATTTGACAGTAGCAGAACAAAAGGGGGGTAAGAGCAAAGTTGTACTGGAATATGGAAATAACACCAGATGGTAACTTGAACCCACAGGAACGAATGAAGGGAACCAGAAATGGTAAGTAGGAAAAAGAATATAACAAACTCTATAAATACATACTTTCTCTTCTTTCTTGTCTCCTTTAAGAGATCATTATGACAATGTTGTATTGGATTTGTAACATAGATTAATATGTATAATATGGCACAAAACAGGGGAGGAGTTATATAGGAATGATATTTCTATATCGCCTTGGATTAAGTTAATATAAATCTGAAGTAGATCCTGATAAATCAATTTGTATATATTACGTCCTAGAGAAACTACTAAAAAAATAACTAAAAAATGTAGGAAAAAAATTATTAAAGGAATTAAACTGTTGCTCTAGAAAATATTACTTTATGTAAAAGAAAGCAACAAAGGAGAAAAAGAGGGACAAAAAAAGATATGACACCTACAGAAAATGAAAAATAAGGGACCCCTGAGTGGGCTCAGTCCGTTGGGCATCCAACTCTGGCTCAGGTCATGATCTCACAGTTCATGGGTTCAAGCCCTGCATCCAGCTGTCTGCTGTAAGCACAGAGCCCACTTTGGATCCTTGGTTCCCCTCTCTCTCTAACCCTCCTCTGCTCACGTGTGTGTACACATCCTGTCTCTCAAAAATAAACATTTAAAAAACAAGAAGAAGAAAAATGGTAGTTGTAAGTCCAACTATATTAATGATAACATTAAATGTAAATGAAGTAAATATTCTAATCAAAAGGCAAAGATTACCAGACTGGATGAAAAGACCAGGTCCAACTATATGCTGTCTACAGGTGACACACCTAAGATTCAAAGATACAAACAGACTGGAAATGAGAACAGAAAAAGGTGTATCATGCAAAAAGCGATGATAAGAAAATTGGAGTTGCTATAGTAATATCAGACAAAAAAGACTTTAAAACAAAAAAAAATTACTAGAGATAAAGTAGGACATTTTTTAATGAAAACGGGGTCAATCTATTAGAAAGATATACCAGTTATAAACATTTATACACCTAACAACAGAGTTCCAAAATACACAAAGCAAAACCTTACAGAAATGAAGGAACAATTTAATAATAATAGTTGGAGACTTTAATACCCCACTTTCAAAAAGTAGATGAAACTAGGCAGAACAACAGGAAATAGGAGATTTAAGTAACACTACAAACCAACTAGACCTAAAAAACGCCTATAGAACACTCCACTTAACAACAGTAGTACATACATTCTTCTCAGGTGCTCATGGAACATTCTTTGGGATATACCTTGTGCTACGCCATAAAAACAAAAAACACATGAAAAACAAAAAACATGTAAATGGAGATACAAACACCAAAATTACATTTTGGGTTAGCGGGAATAGGAGAGATCGTAATGTTTTCTTCTATTTATTTGCTAACTTAAATATATTACTTCTATTGAAAAAAAAACATTAAAGGTTATAAAAAAAAAAAAGAACTGATGATTAGTAATGGAAAGAATTAAACTGAGAGAGGTGGGAGAAACTGCTTTATCTCATTTAAACTCTTGTCAACACAAATCCTGCCAATTCCTTTATACTTACACTTGAAACTCTTCATAAGAAACCCCACTGGAGATGCTTCCCCTCCTTCTGGAACTATGCCCACTGTCTTCATCATCATCCTCCTCAGAGTCATCCAGGCTTCTTGGGAAACTTCGGCTGCTCATGGGACGTGGTAAAGAGCTGTGATCCAGATCCAGATCCTCCTGAAGAAACATTGGATCACTGGGTGAGGAGCAAGAACACCCAGTTCCCACAGAGCTTCACTGAGGGCTTGGGCAAATGGCAAATGGATATGTACCAATTACCTAGGATTTCTTTGTGGCTAACACCAGACTGTGATTCCCACACTTGTAAATTTCATGGATTGGCAAATTTTCAAAACAGGTCTTAATGACCAGCAAGGGACTGCTAACTTGTTTGGACAAGAAAGAACATTAAAAATAGAACAAAGCAGAGAAAAAAAGGTAGAGGAAGAAATATATTATCACCTTTTCATAAAAGATAACACATTTAATAGCTACAAAGTTGGAAGGATATAATCTTACAGTAAAAATTTTGACTAAATGCAGCCTTGTGAAAGGTGATTTCACTATGCCTGGGGAAGTTTTTCACTTGCTGGCACCATTCGGTGAGGCAGAGTTTAGAAACTACTCCTCATAGAGAAGGAACTTTGGTATATAGTATTCACCTGCATTCTCTGTACCTCAATTACAATGGATATTTTTTGGTTCGTTTAACCATTTATTTTTAATGTTAATGTTAAAGCTTTTAGTTATCCTTTCTGATTATAAAAGACCATGGGAATTTACTTCTAACAGTTTCATAAGAAGTATTCAAATGGAAGGCAGTAGTTATTTTTTGTTCCATTATAAATGTTAAAGAACAATTAGCTTTACATCTCCTGAGGAATCTTTTTTCCTCCACTCTCATGGACACAGTGAGGTGTGTGACTATTCAGGTTTCCCTTTTGAAGCTGATGGCCAGAAAACTTAGGGCCAGATTTATAGCCCAATCTTTAATCAACATACGTGTATTTTTATGGAAGCATTTTTAGCCTCCTAGTCTAGTTTTATATTTCACTTTTGTTTTACTTCATTTTTTCATTTTGATTGTTTTACACTGATGCCAACTTACTGCATTTTTACGTATTATTATGTTACATATCCTTTTTGGAACAAGCTGGGTATTACAACATAAATTGAGACAGAGAGAGGAGAAAGACAGGCTCTCAGTAATCCATGACTTAGCATGGTGTCTGAAACACTGTGGGTACTGAATCAAATCATGTTCTCCTAAATGAGACCCACCCTCTCTTTTTCCAAGTCGTCTCTCATCTGTTGATGTTCATGTTCGGTCAGTTCTTGGTCTCCATCTTGGTCATATTTTGTGAATATTGCCTCAATCTCTGCATCAGTATGGCCCTTCCTGAAATTATTGAGAGGTTACAGATGAAGTCACTTGTGTACATAGTACAGTGAAAACAAAGGGACACCAAAATGCAGGAATAAAGGAGAAATTGCTGAATCAGGGCCAGCCCTTCTCTTATTAATATGTGCCAGAAAGACACCTACTCTGAAAAAAGAGCATCTCTATGAGTAAGTGGTTGGGCCAAAAATATCCTTATCACCAAGAACTTATCTTTCCATTAAGAATTTCCCTGGGCCTCAGAAAGAGTGATTCTTACCCTTTGAGATCTTGTCGAAGTTCATCAAAGTTTAACTTGCCTCCGCCTTGCCTCAGACTCTCAGAAATGTCATCCACAGTATTTTTTTTCAGTTTTAGTTTGACCAAGGCTTTATGGTAGCCCTGTTGAAAAGATTTGGTTTAGATTATTCTCTTTTTACATGCGCTTTACCATCCATTTACAGTAGTAACTAACTACCTGTGCAGACCTTGCTTTGCATGGTAGTTGCAGGATTATAAAAATGACCATGCAAGCCTGAACTATGTGAAGTGATGTTAATAATCAACAGGAAAAATTATGATTGCTCCGTGACCCTTAAAACCTTTTATGAGGGGCACCTTGCTGTCTCAGTCAGAAGAGCTTGCAACTTTTGATTGTGGGGTCATGTGTTTAAGCCCTGTGTTGGGTGTGGGGATTAATTAAACAAACAAACTTAAAAAAACAACTTTTTATCAAAGCATTAAAATTTTCTTGGTGTTGGTTATAAACTCATTAGGAAAAATTTAAAAACAGTAAGGTGAATATTTATTTGGTACACTGAAATTTAAAACCTCAGAAACACTGAAAATTAAAATGTTTTATTTCTTTGTAAAAAATTTATCCAGAGTAGTCTGAACAGCGCTTGCTTTCTTCCTGTGTAATGTAGGATATGGAGTAAGCATCTTTTCCATGTCTTGGGGAGCTTTCATAATCTTTTCTTAATATGGGTCAGCTCCCAACATTTTATCCTTTGCATTTTCCATGTCATAACATATCTCCAAGAATTCCTTTAATGTGAAGTTGTTTGTCAGTGTCACTTCCTTGAAGACATTGTCAGCCTTTTCCTCATAACCACTGCCCTCATTCATGTTGATAAATGTGCTTCACTAAGCTCTTTGACTGTATATCTGTCTATCCATTGATATTCAAGACCTTGAAGGGTAGTAATGTCAACATTTCCACGCCCAGCTATGTAGCCTAGAAATCTGTTACACTGGCTTTGAATTTCACTTTCAGTGTTGTCATTCTTTGTTTCTTTGCTATGCTTTCATCTTTGCGGGCCCATTCTCCTTTTCCATCACACATTCTTGCAAAATGTCACATGGGTTTTTCACAGGGAGATACAGAAGCAACACAACCACATGTTCTGTGCCTGAACTGAACAGCAGATGCTCAGGGACCAATCCTAGACTTTGTAAGAAGTGATGTTATGCTCACCGGTTATGATACACATCTGTTACTTATGTAATGATTTGTAGACTGAAGAGCCAGCAGTGAAGTTTATAGTCATGCTATTACAGTTAATATACTGTGATAACTAAGATATTCTGTGAGAATTGCAAGTTTGTACTTCTATACTATTATTCACAGTCAATATACTGTGATAACTGATATATGAACTGCGTTGAGAGGCTGGTGTTATTTAACTGAACTAATTGAAATCTGTGCATACCAGAACCAGAGCGCAAAGTAAGGACTTCTTGTATATACGTTGGAGATTTGCTAACGTGTAATAAGCTGTCATTGCAAAATTCAGGATAACACACATCTTAGGTCCCATGGAAGGGACTTTGTTTTAAGAACTGGAAGTTCTCTGTTCAAACAGGACAGACAACATAGTCCTATGACTTGAACCAACAGAAAAAGATCAGTCAAGGAGCCACTGGTATCTTAGCAAAATGATGTTAGGGAACAAGCTGTGTACTTCAGATGTAGTTATTTGTTGTTGCTTAAGTTTTATACTTTAGACCAAATAAAGAAGTCACATTGAAAAGAACAAAGTTACCCAGCTTTCCTGTCCTGCCCTTCCATTTAACAATTAACTTCCTGAGAGGGTGCGTGCTTAAGTGAAAGTCCTCAGACCCTTAGGCTGTGGCCTGATGCCATGGACAGTTTTCCTTTGACTATTTAAAAACTTCTCTGGAAGATCAAGGGTAAAGGGTGGACTACAAAATATTTGTTTCTAAACTTTTTCTTTCTCCTTTTAAATTGCATTTGAGATAGAAAAAAGCAGAGATGTCTTTATATTTTTCTCTTCCAATTTATTCTGAATTCTGGAACTGCAAGTGAGAGCCACCTGGAGGTATTGTCAAAATAAGTGAAGGTGATGAAGCCAGCAGCTCAGCTCTCAAGAGTCGAAAGAGATTGTTGAGAATTTAATTCTAGGGCATTTACGGGTTCCCAGAATTTAAGTCCAAGTTAACAGCATACCCATCTCTAGCTCTGAGACAGAGAACTTTTAAATTATTCCTGAAATGTAGCAATCTACTCTTTATGTTAACAATGACAATGGATCAGTGTTGCTGTGGAAATCTGGCTGAAACAATGCTCATTATATGTAGGGGATGAAAACAATTCTGAGACTTAGGGCTTGTCATACCTTTCTGATAAGATCTGAGAGTTCCATTTCAGCTTTCTGCTGGGCCAAATCAGATTTAACTTCGGAGTAAGTATCATTGATGATGGCCAAAAACATATTCTGTTTGTAAATCGAAGGAAAGTTGAGATTAAAGAAGAAACCTAAATATAGTTTCTAAACATCAATCCAAAATTTGACATATGTATTTTTGTTCAGTTTTTTTTTTAAGTAATCTGATGTCTTAAGAAGTCATAAATTAATAGTTTTGCTGTTATATTCTTTGGGAAAATTATTTTTTCCATTAAGTCATGCCAGAGGAAAATACAATATATTTTCTTACTTACAAACCATATATTGTGATACATTTTGCAAAAAAAGATAAGAACGAAATACAACAAAATATTGATGTATTTACTTATGGATGGTGGTATTACTCTATTTTATTATTTTTGCTTGTCTATGTTCTCTACATTTTTTTCATTTGACATGAATTATTAGAAATCTAGAACTCTACATAGTCTGTCAATACAGACAAGTGGAATCCTATGCTTATTCCAAATGTTGTTATATATTACTTGAGATTTACAGACCATGTTTTGAAGAGTTAAAAAAAGATCTCTCCAAATAGAAATACAGTAGGCTTCACAGAAGAGGCTTTAAGAAAAGCTTAGTGAAAAAGACAAAGACTTTGGAGTCAAGCACATTAGGGTTTCAGTCTTAGCACTGCCAAGACGATATTGTTCAAATTTTCTAATCTTTAGGGGTGCCTGGGTGGCTCAGTCAGTTAAGCGACCAACTTCAGCTCAGGTCATGATCTCCTGGTTTGTGAGTTTGAGCCCTGCCTCGGGCTCTGTGCTGACAGCTCCGAGCCTGGAGCCTGCTTCTGATTCTGTGACTCCCTCTTTTGTCTGCCCCTCCCCTGCTCATGCTCTGTCTCTCTCTGTCTCTCAAAAATGAATAAAAACATTAAAAATTTTTTTCTAATCTTTATTTTAAAATTTATTTGTTCTTGCATTAATAAAGTGGAAGAAATAATAGTACAGATTTTTATAAGAATTAATGAGATAATCTATGTAAAAGTACTTAGGACAGGACCTAACGCATGGTAAGTGCTACATATTTATAGCTATTATTATTCAGTGACGGTTAGTTCATTTTCCTAACTTTTCCTCTCCCCAGGATAATGGTTTGTATTTCCAACAGGTTTTTCTTGAAGCACCACACCCAACTGATCCAGTCCTTCTTTAACACGCTCTTCCTTCACTTTTCCGTTTTGACACATAACTATGGTTTGAACTCAGAGTTGTGTATTTGATTATGTCTGTTTTCCCCACAAATCTGTGGAATTTTCATGAGGGCAGAGCTGGTCTCTTATTTTCCTTACCACTGTACCCCCAGTACATAGCAGCTTGCCTGGAAATAGTGCCTCAGCAAATATTTATTGAATAATGGATGAATGAACAAATGGGAGCTCTATTATTTTAATGGGCTACTAAATCATTGCAAGTTAAGCAGGAACACTACTTAAGATTCTGTAGCAGAAATGAGAATAAAATATAAAATGCATGTAAGTTCGTGGCTTAATGTTTAATTCCGAGTACAGACTGTTGCAGTTGGAGCAACATTCCCACCTTCTCCCTCCCAACCCAGGCAACTAATGTTCTCTTTTTAAAAGTTTCCAAATGGCTGTTAGCTAATGCCTGCAAATATCTTAGGTGTAGGGTTAAAGGGTGGGTCCTCTGAAGAGATTTTTAAAAAACTGAAAGTGGCTGAGAAAGACTACTGAAAGTGTGGGGAGAGGAAGCCCCCCTCCTCTCCACCCTGTCTCAGAAGGTTTGCTTAATTGTGCAATCAGAGGTCTTTTCCTGGTGATGACAGGATTTTGCTTCCTGGCTCATTTGGGCCACCTCTCACCACGGTAGCTTCTTTTACAGCCAGGGCAATAAATTAACACCCGGCAGTCATCACAGAAAAATGGCCGACCCTGCACTCAGCTTGTCATTTCTTTAAAGAAAGATCTGTATTGACTGTAACTCCCCACCTCTCTCTGGGGGAGTGAGGGGTAGAGGAGTGGAGTTCAGGGAGAGCAATTCCTTTTTGTGTAACAGCACAAAAAATTAGTATAAAGACAGAAGCTGAACGCTTCTTTTCATGTTCTAGTGACTGATTTGACGAAATGACTGAAAAATTGCAGGGCACCGCCTACCTGAAGACAACATTCAAACAAGTCCACACTTGACCATTTCAAATTGCCACAGGTATGTTCCTCATTTGGCAGAAGGACACACAAAGAAAACTTAGGTGGCCAGCAGTTAACTAAAGGGTCCACTGCAGAGCTCTCAATTCCTGGTTTTTGTTTTCCTAGTAGAGATTCGGGGATTCAGATGCTCCAGAATCCAAAGTACTACCAATATTAGAGATGAAAAAGGCTTACTGTTCCATTTTTTTCTTTAACATATGATAGAAAAAAGAAACTAGAGAGGCTTAACTTTAAAACTAATAACACATTTATGCAAGATACAAATGGACTTGCGTGATATTGCTGACTCTTTCAATCCTACCAAGGTAGATCTAATACTCAATCTGTAAATAACCACTAAATGCTTGGACCAACTTTGGGAATACTACGCTGAATTACTGAACTTTACACAAAGGATCTTATAAAATTTATTGAAAACGGAGACAATTTTGTTGTTTTCTTATGATGATGATTAATGTAAGGAAAGACTTAAGTATTAGTGTTTGGATAAAGAACACCCACCGCTGGGGTGCCTGGATGGCTCAGTCGGTTAAGCACCATACTCTTGATCTCAGCTCAGGTCATGATCTCATGGTTACTGAGTTCAAAGCCGTGCGTTAGGCTCTGTGCTGATAGCCTGGAGCCTGTTTGGAATTCTGTCTCTCCCTCTCTCTGCCCCTCCCTCCTTCTCTCTCTGTCTCTCAAAATAAATAAATAAATAAATATTTTTTTCAATGGTTATTTTTGAGAGAAAGATGGAGTGCAAGCAGGGGAGGTGCAGAGAGAGAGGAAGGCACAGAATCCGAAGCAGGCTTCAGGTTCTGTGCTGTCAGCACAGAGCCTGATGCAGGGCTCGAACTCACGGATGGCGGGATCATGACCTGAGCCAAAGTCGGATGCTCAACCGACTGAGCCACTCAGGCGCCCCAAATAAATAAACTTAAAAAAAAAACCACCCACTGCCTAGGTTAAGCTAACTTAAATGAATAATTACTCAGTAAAATGTGTAAATGTTAAGATGAAGAACAAAATGCCTTTTAAAAAATATTAATTAACTTAGGGTCAAAATGTTAAAAATGTTCATTTGTACCAAATCAAGAGAATGAAAAGTTATTTTTGAAAGTGACTTTTAAAGCAATTTCCATCCATTGTTAGATCTAGTTTTAAATTTAAAATTTGAATACTCTCTGTGGGCAGTCTCTAGATGTGTTAAATATAAGTAATTCAAGACAAAGTATCTTAAGCTTGACAAGCAATAATTAACTGATATATTACTCTTGACATCCTGGATCTAGCTTGCTTTGTCAGTTCCTATTTCTTTTTTTTTAAAGAAAAGAGGAAAAAGAGGAATGAAAAGTCATGCTAGCAAGTGATCATGAAAGTGCTGACATCTGTGTTAAAAAAAGGCTGTAAATATGTAAGTAGTCTACTTTTTAGGCAAAGCATTATTTTAGGTGACTTTATCAATTTGCATGTGACCTAATTTTTTTTAACATTGAATAGACATATATATGGATAAATGAAAGACAATGCAAAAGATTATTTGGTGACGACTTAAAACTGAATCAATGAGAAGTAAAATAAAATATGTATTCTCATCTACAGTTTTTCCTGAGTCTTTTAAAAAATAAGGACTCTAGAGCATGAGAGAAAAAGGAAGATGGTGATTTATGAAGTTTAAATCACCTCACTGTAAACAAAAGTGTACATACCAAAAGAATGAAGAACATAAAGAACACAAATGTAGTGAAATAAATTGGTCCCAAAACTCGATTAGCTTCCTCAATCTCTGCGAAGTTGATATCACCCAAAATGATACGGAATTGAGTGAAGCTATAAAAACAAAACAAAACAAAACAAAACACTACAATACAAAAACAAAGACTGTTCAGCATTGATGTAACATTTCCTAAAGATGATTTCACACTTTTGGACCTCTTTATCAGTGTGCACAGCTGCCAGATAATAGAAAATTGTCAGCCTCCTTGGAAAACTCTTGCTAACTATTCAAGCAATTGAAGCTTTCTGGAATAAAAATCATATACTTTTGTGCTAAATACATTATTTCCATTTGGTTAAAAAGAAAATACAATGATTATTAGATGACTCATAAAGCAACCGGTTACAAGAATTTAATCCATAATCTGGCTAAAACATGGATGGTTAACTCTAAACTTCACCATGGTCACCCTGGGTCTGAATTTAAAACCTCTTTAAAAAAAAGACTTTGAAAGATAGCCAAAATTGTATGCATTCAAAGATCCAATATCCTCACACGCTCTCAAAGTGGTGTTGAGTGGCGGTGTGTTGCCAATGCTGGGGTCTTAATCAGTAAAATAATTTCCCTTTCCGACTTCCATTGATCAGCAACATTAATTTGGTATCTCCCAGCACAAAAAGCCCTTTTAACTTCTATTATCATAATCCTCTTCTCCTTTCCTGACTGACTTCTTTCCAAATGGCATGGAAATGTAATATTGGTTATTTATTTTTTTTTTTTTTAGTCTTAATATCATATACGAGAACTTTGGAAAAGGACAGAAAATTCCTACATCAGTTTGAGTTTCTCGTAGAATATTAGAAATACTATTTTTTTTCTAGAAAATAACCTGAAGTTTAAAATACGTGGCAACAATATTGAATAAGAATGAAAATCGAGGCAAATGGTCTCTTAAAAGCTACCATCGGCATTTGGTGCTAAGAAGACCTCTGTCTTTGTAATCATATTGGTTTACTGTAGCTGTTCTACTATCTCTTATGACTTTAGAGTTGCTACCTTAAGTTTATCAGTATTATACATTGTCATCTTTACATTGGTGGGTAATTGCTTCTGGGAAAGATAATTAATTCTTATTTTTAAATAACTATTTAAAACTACTTGGTGGTTAAATAGCAACCATAAAGATTTCTTTATCCTTGAGGAGGCAAGGACAGCTCTGATTAAATTTTTCTTTTATAATTTCATATATACTTACATACACTCTTGGAAGGTACTGAAGTCATCAACCTGACTGCCAAAGACAAGGTATGCCAACTGAGCATATGCTAAGAAGATGATGAAGAACATAATTGCAAAGCCAAAGAGGTCTTTGGCACATCGAGACATGGTTGTGGAGAGCTGACTCATGGTCCTGTTAAAGTTGATGAATTTGAAGAGCTGTAAGAGAGGGAAGATATCAACAGATGAATGGGTAAACAAATATAGTATATACACACAGTGGAATATTACCCAGCCTTACAAAGGGATAAAGTTTTGATCCATGCCACAACATGGATGAACCTTGAAAACATTATGCTAAAGTGAAATAAGCCAGACATAAAAAGACAAATATTGTATGACCCCAGTAACATGGGGTAGCTAGAATATGAAAATTCATAGAGACAGAAAGTAGAATAGAGGTTACCAGGGGCTGCGGTGAGGCGGGAATTGGGAGTTAGTGTTTACTAGATAGTTTCAGCTGGAATGCTGAAAAAGTTCTGGAAATATATATGATGGTTGCACAACATTGTGAATGTAACTAATGCCACTGAATTGTACACTGAAAAATGGTTAAAGTGATAAATTTTATGTTAATGTGTATTTTACAACATTTTTTTAAAAAGTTCATTATTTATTTTGAGAAAGAGAGAACGAGCATGAGTGGGGGGATGGGCAGAGAGAGAGGAAGAGAAAATCCCAAGCTTCCCAACATTTTTTTAAGAGAGAGAATAATGACTTGCTTTTGTCCCCAAACCCAGCAACTTCTATTTTCTCATTCAAAAAGTACTTGCTGAATGCCTACCATGTGCCAGGCACTATTCTTGGAGTTGCAAACAGCAGTGCACAGAACAAAGCTCCTCCCCTGATGTTGCTTACATTTTACATGATGGTTACAATACAGTAAAAATAGGTTTAAATCATAATTAAGATGATTAGTGATATTTTTACCCCAAGAAAGATTGAAATAAAAGAGGAATGGGGAGGGGCACCTGGATGGCTCAGTCAGTTGAGCATCTGACTCTTGATTTCAGCTCAGATCATGATCTCAAGGTTCACGTGATTGAGCCCCACATTGGGCTCTGTGCTGACAGCACACAGCCTACTTGGGCTTCTCTCTCTTTCCCTCTCTCTCTGCCCCTCCCCTCCTTGCTGTCTCTAAGTAAATAAATAAATATTTAAGAAAATAAATTAAAAGAGGGAAAAAACCCCACAAGTGAAAACTAGTTAAAAAAAATCCCTCCAGGAAATATTCATCGCATGTTATTAACTGTCATTTATTGTTTAGCAATGATGTGCCAGGTACGGTGGAAAGAGCAATGTACACTGCCTCAGGTCTTTGCCATGATTTAAATACTGGTATTCTACCCCCAGGTGTCAGCCAGGGCTCAGATCCAGCCGTCTAGCCCAGCGCTATCTGACTGCCAAATCATATTGAGCATTTCTGTAAATGAGACACTAAGGATGGCTGTTCAGGATGTTCCTCACAGCCCAGGGGCATGACAACCTGTGGCATAAGTCTTGGGGGAAGAACGCTGGGAGGACACATCAGAAGTCAAGTTGCCATCCCTGCCTTAAAGAACTTAATGGTTCTTAAAGTTTTGGGAGAATGTTTACAAGCAAAACACTAAATAAAATGCTCAACCTGAGGGACACATTGAAGGGAATCTCTAGAATTTTACTTAAAGAACTCTTACAAATTGTTTCTGGCCACAGTAAAATTTTTTTGAGGGTTGTGGTAATCACATTTCTTTATGTAATTCCTATTAGATTTGGACTATTATTACTATTTTATGATAAAGGTTTGGTGTATTAGTGGTGGTTTTTCCTGAACAAGCATGTAACTAACTAAATAGGAAGAGAGGATGAGATCTATATCCTCTGACAAATCTCAGGCCTTTCAGGTGTGAATACCAATTCAGGAAAATAAATAACTTTACTTTTTAGAACAGTGCTGTTCAATCAAACTTTCTGACATGATGGAAATGTTCTTTATTTCCATTGCCCTATATAGTAGCCATCAGCTATATACAGACATTGAGATCTTAAAATGTGGCCAGAGTGACTGATGAACTGAATGTTTAACTGTATGTAATTTTAATTAATTAAAATTTAAATTTCAATAGCCACTTGTGGCTAGTAGCTACTATCTTGATAGCAGAATCATAGAATTTGACAAGTGACAGCTGGGGAGCTACCCCCATTATTACTAAAATTTTCTGCATCTCCAGAATTGAGGCTCATTTGTGTATGAAATGCCCTAACCTTTCACACACATGGAAATGCACACTGTTTTGGAAAAGGAGATGAGTCATAAAGGTACTACTCAGAAGTGTATGTATTTGTCCCAACCTCAATTCTAGGTAAAGCCATATGGCTATATGGCCTCCACCTGGGAAAGAGACAGTCCTTCCACAGATCATTTATAGTGCATCTCTCTGTCCCTCTCCATCCTCCCCAACTTGTTCTTAGTTCCCTTTCCTTCACCTGGTCACCCGATATCAGGTAAAACTCAACCTGTCCCTGTGTTAGTGTAGCTGAGGGCCACAGACCCAAAGGACACTGAGAGGTGTCTTATTGCATTTGTGAAACAAATCTGCAGGGACTGGTTTTGCAAAACTGCAGGTAGTAGGAAGCATCATACACAGTTAGATGAAAGATCACATGAATCCTGCTAGCTTACTTGTAAAATATGAAGCAGCTCTGGCTGGCATTTGAATTTAACCACAAAAGCACACTCAAGTCCTCCAACATTTTGTGTGACTCATGTTAATAAAAAGAAGGGAAAGGGGCGCCTGGATGGCTCAGTCGGTTAAACGTCCGACTTTGGCTCAGGTCATGAGCTCACAGATCATGAGTTCGAGTCCCATGTGGGGCTTTGTGCTGATAGCTCGGAGCCTGGAGCCTGCTTCAGATTCTGTATCTCCCATTCTCTCTGCCTTACCCCCGCCCCCACTCTCCCTCCCCTTCTCACTCAAAAATAAATAAACATTAAAATTTATTTTAAATAAAAAAAGAAAGGGAAAAATATTATTGAAAATCAGAACATGAAGTTTGTAAATTACCTTAATCCAGACAAAAAATACTATGACAGCAGCTATATTGTTGAACTGTATTTGCCAGTATGCCAGATGTTCAAAGTTGGGAAAAGTATTTTGATCTTCTAGAAACTGTAGTAGCACCTCCACATTTGATGTTCTATATATGTTAATTCCTATAGCTACCACTGACAGCTGGAAAACAAAAGATTTATATGTTATTACAGTGTTTTAGAAATATGCAACTTACCTTAAAATGACTATTTTTTCTTACCCATGTATTACTCCTAGGGCTCAGCAATCTACTTATCCAAATCACTCATACAAATGTTAAATGCTGAGCACAGCCATAATACAAGTAAAACAATAAGCTGCTTGCATTCCCTTTGCTAGGAACAGAAACCCAATAAATGCACGTGTCCATGTGCACAAACACATGAGAGATGTTGCTGTATTACAAAATCAAATTCAAATAGGATGCCTTGTTTTTTCTGCCACTCTCATTTAAATCACTTTCCACCCTTCTGCTTTCTCAGCCTCATCTTGCTTTTTTTTTTTTTTTTTTCAGTTGCCAGCCATCCATTCCTTCTACTATTTAACAAATACGTAGTGGACATCTATGTATACAGCACTGTGCCAGGGGCTAAGAGGAACAAACAGAAGTAAAATGCACAAACTCTGTTCTTAAGAAACTTACACTCTGGTTCAAGACCAGGTACACACACAAAAATAAGCAACCCAAAAGCCTACTAAGGAGTTGGCATTGTACAACATAAGGTGAAGGGTGAAACAAGACATTCTAAAAGGGGTGGTCGAAGGAAAAAGAATATGCTTGGTCTTAAAGGATGGTGGGAATGATGGTCAGAGAGGGCTCCAGAAGGCTTGCAGTGGGAATATGTGTGAGCCAAGGGTTTCCCTCTTGTTTCTGTTCCTTACCCCACGACCATGCAACTTTCCACATTTGCTTCAGTTCCGGACCGACAACATTGGTCCCTACGTGCATCCATCATCACTGGATTAAGGTATATGTATGGAAAGTGCTAGGGGTTAACCATCACAACCTGGGCTTCCTAATGGGATCTGAATCCACAGCAGGTGTGCTGTCCTAGGTGCTGAGACCTTTGCTGTCCATTCCTTCTCTCTTCTCATGAATGATGGTCAAAGACCACTTCATTAGCCCTTCTTGAAATGGCTTCTTGATCATGACTCCAGGTGATTATCATAGCAGAAACCTGCCTGGATGCCAATCTTTACCATCTTTTGTTTTCTGTGAAGAACTTCCAGAGCAAATCTTGTATTTTTGTGCTGGTGGTAGGATTATTTTCTTTGAGCTCTCTGAATACACTGAAAATGTTTCTCTATGTTGACTTAGTTGAGAGGGAAGGGTTGACTGACTGAATAACAATAACCCTTTACCCAGCTCTCACTAGGTATAGTTGCTTTGGTCATTTATACAATATCAATATCATATCAATATACTAAATTTCCTTGAGATGTTTTCTTCAAAATAGAGAATGAGAGAAAAGATGAGAAAAGAGATTTTGTAAGCATTTGAGTTATGTCCTGGGTTTTCTTTGGGATTGTCATCCTTATCTACGAAAGAACTTTCTTTCCTTAACATAAACTTCATAAGGGCAGGAGTTTGGGCTGTTTGGTTCTTTCCTATATCCCCAATGCCTAGAACAATGCCAGACACATAGCAGGTGCTCAGAAAATCCTTGTTGAATAAATAAATTAATAATTATCACCCTTGAAACCTACCAATCAACAAAATTATTTGAATTTAGACTTTTTAACAGTCTTCTTTTTTCAGTAATTCCACTAGTTTTGAAAGATCATTGTTTAGGTCAAATGGTTGACTAAATTAAGTCTACAGATTTAGAAGTCTTTGTTGGAAGAAACAAAAGGAAAATACAAAAAATGATTTCAGAGTGGTTCCAAGATGTTGTAATTATATTTATCACATAATTACTTTTCAAGTTTCGGGTGTGCTTTAGCATATTTGGGCCAGATAAAATAAAAACACCTTTGCTTTTTTCATGGGGTTGAAGGTCCAGTGGAGCACAGGACTTGTTTTGGGGATGAGCAGAAAGCATGCCCTTATTTCTGCAAGGTCAGAGAAGGTTTCAAAGGAGAAGTAGGATTCCAGTAGCCCTTCCTTGTTCTTTACAAAAGCACACTGTCTGAATTGTTGTCTTGGCAGTACTAAGAGTTAAAAAAAAAAAAAAAGAATAGCACAGTGAAGCAAGTTTTCAAAGAAATACTTGCAAAATCTTGTGGCTGCTGAGCCAAAGAAACTATCCTTAATTTCCATGACATCATCAGTTATTTTCTCCAAAGCAGGTACAAGGCGATTCACTGAGGTGTGGGAATAAAATATTAAAACTTCTATCCAAGTGAAAAGAAAGTGCTAGAATTCTATTTGTATTTATTTTTAACCAAATCTTTCAAATTTTATGTTGTGTATGTTTGTACAAGTGTATACACACACACACGCTATAAATATATGGAATACATTAGGGTGTGTTGTCAAAGTTCTCACGTATAGGTGTACATAATCAAAAAGGTTCATTGCCACTGACTAGTCTTTTGTTGGTATTAAAGGTATTTGGTTAAAACCCAAACAAACCTGCCACTAACCAGCATACTATCACACTTTTACCATTATTCTCAATGACCTAAACTATAAATATACCCATATAAACTAAAAAAGCAGGGTTTGCAAGCTTGGAGTCCCAAACAATAATTGTTTTCTAGAATAGTTTTCAATGTAGATGGACTGCACTCTTCCATCATGTAGTACAGAAATATTTTGAAAAATTCTTCCAGTCTCATGGCCTTTCCTCCCTCCTTAAATAGCGAAATGTCTTTGTTACTCTGTTATTATTAATGTATTGAGAATCTGGGGATCAAGAGCTTACCTACAGGAATTGTGTGATGTGACACAAGCCATTGTGCATCAAGGTTGAATGGCTTCCACACAGTATTCTGGAGGAATTCTTATTTTAAGTAAAAACTCTTTATGAAGAGCACATGCATGTAGCTTGAGAGGCAATAGAAGAGTGGCTAAGAGGGTTATTGTGAGGATTAAACATACTTCTGTATATGAAAAGCACCGGGAACTGTGTCTGACACACATAACTTCTAAAGTGTTAGTGATGATGATGATTATTATTGCTCGTGTTAACATTTGTGCAGTATATATCTATATAGTTCTTTTCAATGTCTTAAGCATTCTTTTATTCAAATGAGGATTTTTTTCTATGTTTAAAACATATTAATAACATATTTCAGAAAATATTTTTCCCTATTTTGCCAACTAATTCTAGTGATGATCTGATAATGACTTGATGTAAATGCTTCACAAAGCCCAAACAAATTTTTGATTGCTGGGGGCTGGGGGAGAATAGTGGCCAAGAAGTAGGGTAACAGAAAAGGGCACCCTGATAGGATAATGCATCACTTAACTGAGATTTCAAAGGGGCATCTCTATCATCAGACGGAGGATGATGGTGGAAAGGATGGACTTTTAGGCATGTAACAATTAAACATGTCTTTATATGCTTCAAT